TCATTGTATCATTCTTAGTTATGGAGTACAGTGCTGTGCCTTTCTTTGTGTTCGGGACCTGGCGACTAGGTCTTCTGGACCCAAGGGTCTCGATTGCTTGGGGGGAGGTGACTCTCTTATTACTTTTCCCCTTCGACAAGACCTAGTCCGTACTCAGTACCTTACTATCTACCACCTTTGGTCTAGTGCTACCTTTTACTTGGTCGAAACTAGCCGTCCCTGCTATGTACTCCTGTAGGCGGGGAATCGTCAGCGTTCCATCGACTTTCTCGACAGTCTAGACAACTAAGGCAAGCAGGACTGCAGGACTCCAAAACTTCCAGAGCTGCTGGTTCCTTGGTTCTGGGTCTTTTCACTACTCATATGGAGTATAGCAACAAGCAATCATTACATAGCGCCTGTAAGGTACCTGTCTAGTTATTATGTATGTACTCCGTAGATGGTAGTCGATCACTCGTCAAGAAAATTATCCTCTAACCTTACTTACCTCAGCGGTCATGGTCATAGAAGGTAATAATAATAATAATAATAAATCAGTTCAGCCCATCCTTCGTGGTGTTCCACCAATCCTTTCTCTACTCCTCCTCTCTTTCAGGCGTTCAAACTGATCATTGAATGAAAATCACACCCCAGTCTCCATTTAGTCTTCGCTCCCTTGAACTGACAGCTTCTTTAAGGGATTGGTTCTTCCCCTCCCTTTCCACAGTTCCCAGGAGGAGCCTGAAGCCACTGTCAGCCTGAAGAGAGTAACTGTCCCTTGTGCCTCTCCAATCTAATCACCCTTTCTTCCATCCACCGTACCTCTTACCCCCCTCCAACTTGACCACTTTTTTTTCCCGCCCTCTTCCTCCTTCTTTCCCCTGTACTCCCGTCCTCACCATTTCAGCTCCGTCTCATCGCCACTCGGTCGCATTTATCATCCAGGCATCCACGGGACTTATCGAGCTGGATTTCCCCGCATTATTAACTGACCGTCTCCTTCGTCGATCCGCTGTGGGCGTTGCGGACGGCGCGCGGCTCTTTCTCCCGCTGGTTTGATTAGTCCTCGTGCTATTTTGGGATCACAGTCCCAGCCTCGGGGATCCTGCGAAAACACGAGGGCGGTGACGAAGGACTCGATTTTATCACCTTCCCCAGAGTTACTCTTTCGAATAACAGGCCCTATAGACCTCCCGCCAACTTACATTTCTCGGACACTCTCGACATCATGGTGACAGGCAAGTCGCAGCCTGGCACTGAGCCGATCCACCCCCTCCCACCCTCTGCGAACCATGACGGAATCGCGACCTCTCCACCATCAAAGCGAGACCTGGCGTCTTGGTGGAGGCAGTTTAAACGTAACACGAGGAAAGAGGATGTCAAAGGTACGCTACTTGGAAGAAGAGAGCCCCTGTCTGTTGGAGGCGCTGGTTTCTGAGTTGCCTGGGATGGGCGACCTCGGTTGCGAACCAGCGCTCCTGGCCTATGCGACACCTTTGCTGCAGTTGAACGAACTTGACAGCTAGCCCTGTATTTGTTGTGCTTGCTACATCCATTCTGCGTGCAATTGCTATGAGCGTATCCAGAAAACTGCTCTGCTTGGTGCTTGGATCATTTCTGAGACCTATTTCTTACGTGAGGCTAATCCGCATTTTCTCACAGAAAAACCTCAGGGTATCTTCGGTGTTCCCCTCAACGTCAGTATCAAATATGCGAATGTCGCGATCTCCCTCACGAACGATAACGGCGAAAGCTTCATCTACGGTTATGTGCCCATCGTCGTCGCCAAGTGTGGTGTCTTCTTGAAGGAAAAAGGTACGAACAATCAATCTTCTTCGCTCGGGCGAACGGCCTACTGATCGCGGTTTTACTTCCAGCAACGGACGTCGAAGGCATTTTCCGTTTGAATGGATCTGCGAAACGTATCAAGGACCTGCAGGAGATCTTTGATTCTCCAGAGCGATATGGAAAAGGGCTGGATTGGACCGGATACACTGTGCACGATGCTGCAAATGTCCTGCGTCGCTACCTTAACCAACTCCCTGAGCCGATCGTCCCTTTGGACTTTTACGAGCGGTTTCGCGAGCCGCTACGCGCGTACCAGAGGCAGGTCCAGGAAAATGGATCCTCCGCTGATTCGGATGCTTTTGATCATGCAAAGGCTGTCGCGGCCTACCAGCAATTGATTAGGGAACTTCCCCCACTGAACAAACAGCTGCTTCTCTACATCCTTGATCTCCTCGCCGTCTTCGCGTCCAAGTCTGACCAGAATCGAATGACTTCGGCTAACCTCTCCGCCATTTTTCAACCTGGGCTACTGTCTCACCCACAGCACGATATGTCGCCAGATGAGTACAAGCTGAGTCAGGATGTTTTGATTTTCCTGATTGAAAACCAGGACCACTTCCTTTTCGGAATGAATGGTACTGCCGCAGATGAACAGACCCTGAAGGAGGTCGAGGGCGGTACTGCTCGCCGGACGACGACGAATTCTAATATTAGACGCTCAGTATCCAGCGCGAGCGGCGGCGCGGATAGCTTCCGCAAGTACGAGAATCTGCGTAGGAACGTCTCCGTGTCCTCGAAGCATTCGCGTCATTCAAACAACTCTCCTGGACCGGTGACACCAACCTCCTTGAGTGGTGTTGGAGTCCATCGGAGCAACACATTGCCATCTAAAATGTCACCAATATCTTCCGCGAGGTATGGCAGGGTTCAGGAATCGACCAGTGTTCAACCGTCTGGGCTCAACCCTTCTGTCCAGAATTCCCGGTCATCCAGCCGCGCCCCAACGTCGCGGGAGGAAACTAGCCAAACGACGCCGGCGCCTCCATTAGGATCCAACGCCGAGTCTGGCACTACATACATTCACTCATCCACCCATGGCCCCATGCCAAAAGTCGCCGAAGCCCGCGCGCCCATCGCCGAGAAGCCTGTCATTCAAGACCCCCTACCGACCCTGGTGTCCTCCCCTCCGCCGCCCGTCGTGACTCCAACTAAAGAGCGAAAGTTGTCTAGTTTCTTCACCAAGTCCCCTCCGCAGAACGGTGAGCTGAAGGAACCCCGTCAGCCAAATCGCCTGAAGAAGAAGCGGATTTCAGGAAGTGCCAGCGAAAGTGCTCACAGTTCTTCCCTGTCACTACAGGCAGCCCCAGGTGAATCTGTTGTGAGCGTCGTCCCCTCGGCTACACGGGCACACGAAGCAGATGGTGAAGCCGGAGGGGCGACCCCAAGACCTCCTAACACGACAAATCCCGGAGATGATGCCACCATTAACGCCGCTGAAGAGAAGCAAGGGGTCCAGAATGACTTGCACAATGCAGACAATTCGCTGAGACCGCATGGTTCGCGCACACCCTCCATGAACTCTCGCTCCTCATTCACAGATCATTCGGATCTCGATCAAACAGACGAGAAAGCGGACCGCCGAGAGCACCGACGGAGTTGGAGGTTCCATCGGTCGTCTAAACGCAGCAACGAACAAATCGGACTCGGTCTTGCATCGCCACCCCTTTCCGCATCAAATCCCAGCGCTGAGCGCAGCACGACCTCAGTTGGCAGTTGGCACCAATCCAGCAAGAGCTCGCCATCGGATCCGCAGCAGTTCGCCAGCGACCCATCCCAGCAACCTTTGAGCCTGGACGCTGAGATAAGCAATAGCGCAGCTCCAAAGGAAAGCGTAGAGCCCGAGAAGCGGAGCCTCTTTGGAAAATTCAAAGCCAAGGTTGCGCAGGTTCGGGATGGCGTGAGAGATTCGGAACGAGACCGTACCAGAAGCCCGGCGCAACCGGATTCTGAGAGACCTGCGTCCAACCATACCATGTCCCCTGCTGGCAAGGACAGAATCAGCAGTGGACCTGCGCCAATTGAGGTGCCAAAGGAGAGCAGAGAAGAGCAAACGCGCTCCCCAGTATCCCCAATCATGTCCAGCTCCGGCCTGCCCCCGGCGATCCCGGAGGAACCCCGCACTCCGGAGAGTCCTGTCATGTTGCGTACCGATCCGGACTTGGACAAGGAAGCATCAGCCGCTGTCCCTGCTGATCCAAGCAACCCATCGCACACTGAAGCTCTTGCTGTCGCGCAGCCTGAACAGAACAAAGAACCTCTACTAAATTAGATGCCCTCGTTAGGCTCTGCAGGGCTATTACCCTGAGCGCCCCGGAACAATCTGCTGGGCGAGCCACTGCTCGCCCTATGTCACTTTTTGGAATGTAACGCAGCCAGATGCTTTTTTGCGATGCTTTTCAGTCCTTTGGTATGCTCGGAAGTGAGCCGGTATTCGATTATTCTTGTGTATTTTTCTCTATGCGTGTCGAACTCCTAGCTATAAGTTCGCTTGCACGATTTGTTCTCGCCTCGATTCTGCACCCTCTTTTGATTTGCTGGCTATGATATTCAGGTGCCTATCTAGAGCAGCGGTGTTGAAGCTTTTTGCTGTCTCTTTGTTTCTCGAGGCCAACTCGATGAGTGGGACTGTATATCGCGTCTACTGTTCGGTGGGAGTGTCCCATTCATACCCCTGATCCCCTTTCTGTTACGCCGTTTCATGCGTCACGATTTACGTTTTCCTGTATTTCCTTTCGTCCTCGCTACGGGGTAGTTGGCTTTGCTTCTGTGTTACCTGTCAGTCGTGTGGGTATAGGACGGAAAAACAAAAGACATAGAGCACTTTTCGAACGCTTGATCGCTTCCTGTCAGCATTATGTAATCAGTAGTGTCATTTGCGCCCATGAATGAGGACGACGTAGGGTCATCATCAAGAGTAACTATTCAAATGACTGGTCTGTGCCTGAAAATGAAGGCGGCATATTGACACCTAACAGTGAAGGCAACCAAGCCATAGCTCACGGACGAGCCAATCAGGAGTCAGGGGATCCGACCCTGCCGCCGAACTCTCCGAAATAATTCAGCATCGTCTCCAACTAGCTCAAGTTTCAAACCTCACTCGTGCTCAACATCGCCCTCGCACACTCCTTTGAATACTCCACAAGGGCGCTCCTGCGCCCATCAGTCCTGTCATCATGACTTCAGCGCCACCCTCCCCCCTCCGCGCAGCCAATGCCGCCTCCTCCGCGCCAGTCCCCCCTCCGGCCATGAAACCCTCCGCTCCGCCCGTGAATATCCTCTCAACGCAACTCGCCCGAACATACTCGTTCGTCCATCCCGCCGCGCTGCTGGCCATTCTGGCTACACGGTTCCAGGCGCTGGTCGCTGATCCCGTCGCGGAAATGCTGAATACACTCCCCTTCTTGGCGCTCCTGCAGGTGACATACGTGATGGTGTGTCTGCCGCCCGCGGGGTCGGTGCTGTCCTCGCCGCCGGCGTCTCCGGTAGGCGAGGGGGACGAGAAGGAGAAGGAGAAGGAGAAAGAGAGAGAGAAGAGGAAGCTCCCGCTTCGAGCGGGGAAGCTCGCCCGGAGGAAGAACCAGGCGCATGCGGCCGGTTTGTCCGCGAAGTTGACGGTACGCACCTCTTGTCTTGCTCATTTTCATTACAGTTCATTCAATGCTGATGCTAAAGTTGTTGTGGTGAACAGCCCGCCCTTCTCTCCCTAATCCTCACCTTCCTCCTCGCGACCCCCGTCCTCGCACTCCTCCTCGTTCTCTTCGGCGCCCCCCTGACAACACACAATGCCGAGACGGTCCTCTGCGCCGCGCACATGGCGCTCCTGGCCTCGACAGCGCTGATCTACGTGCATGGTGTTGACGGCGCCGTGTGGCGCGAGGTGTGGGCGTTTGCGCGCCCGGCTGATGCCGTCTGGGGCGGTGCGCTGGGAACGGCTCTCGGGGCGTGGTTTGGGGCTGTGCCGATTCCGCTGGATTGGTGAGTATCTCCCCCTCTGGTTCTGGATTGGGGTTGTGGATGCTGATGCCGATGATGGGTAGGGACCGTCCGTGGCAGGCTTTTCCGATTACTATTCTGACGGGTGCGTATATCGGGTTTGCGGTGGGGTCTGTGGTTTCTCGGTCGTCGTGGTTGTTTGGGAAATGGCTTGAGTTTACGCCGGAGCAGGATGATCGGGATAAGAAGACGGAGTGAACGGGGTAGGACTTGGAAGACTGCGCTGGGTTGAGGCATGGCATTTAGCGTCGGTAGTCGGCTTTTATGGTTCTTGTAGATAGTACGTAGTAATAGTGTTGATTGCTGCATCTCTTGTTTGACGGGTCAGATTTGGAGTTTCTGTTTTACTTCCGGAGCCTGTATATGTCCTTCAATCTATTGGTATCTGTATAAGGAAGGAATTATAGATCAAGTGAATGGTGGTATCATAGTACAGACTTAATCAGGGCTGTGAATGAATAAATCAAGAGGGTCATGACGGGCCCCACAACGGCCAATGCGATCAAGATCACTTGTTCAACAATTTGGATCAGTCATGAAAGAAAGAGATTTGAGATAGCTCCAACTTAGTAAATCAGACGCCATGGAAGGGTATCAATGGCGCAATGAGAAGAATGAAAGCGGTGAAAGGATTGATGAATGTTTCTCAAGAGGCTGGTCGCCTCCGCCGCGTTGAACATGAGGTTAAATAAATGAGATCTCTACATTGTATGACCCCGAAAGCCGGGGGAAGCAATTAGCAGCTGAGGGATGTCATATCATACGAGCAACCTCAATGCGCCGGTTACACTGCCACTTCGGCCGCCCGAACACGTCGTCCCTGGAAGAGCCCCCAGGACTCTCCACTTCGGATTCACTCTCGTACGGCGAGCCGATCTTTTCCGAGCAGGTCACGGAGTCCGTTGGACAGCGAGCCAATGCTTTCCTCATACGATCAAGCTCCTGAGACTCTCGGCTGCGGATGGGGTACATCGTGCCCACGGATATCGAGTTGTTAGCGAGCCGTTGCAGTTGCTCGATGTCTTCTTTGAGACTGGTAACCTGAGTCTCCAGATTTCTTCGCGCGGTCTGCTCCCTTCTCAGGAGCATGACCAGTGCACTGTACTGCTGGACTGAGATCCCGCTGAAGTCGCTTAACGAGGTCGAGGATGGTGTTTGCAGAGTTCGCGATCGCTGCAGATTGCTGGGTCGTATTGTAGCGGTGCTGATTGGCCGACCGTCCGGTGTGAATTCGTCGCTCTTCAGCTCCCCGGTGCCGGCAGGCTGGAGATGAGCTGATGACTTGTTGCGGACATGTCGCCTGCTCTTAGTCGGGGTAGAGACTTTATTTTCTCTCGGGGCTTCGGCCGGCGAAGTCTCAGCGCGGACATTCTGCATTCGAGCAATGGCGAACTCGAGGTCGATTAACTTGACCTCTAGCGTTGTGAGTCTCTGCTCGAGAGAGATGTCTTCGCTATGCTGCATGCAGTTTACGAGATTTCCAATGTTCGGCGTTATGCTGTCAAGTTCCTCCTGCTTCTGCGGCCCTTCAACTGGGCGCTCGCTGGGAGTTTCGGATGTACTAGCAACTGTTGTTCTTGTAGGAGGCCGGTCGGACGTTTCGCTGTCTGAAGTCATATCAAAAGCTGATGAATTGACGTAGGTTGTCTCAGTGCTGCGTCGTCTCCACTGAATAGGGGACATTTGGTGATCTCGTGCCATCGCGCGAAGCGCATCAGCACTTCGTGATCGTCTCTTTACTCGAAGGTCCTCGCGGCGTAGCAGGTCCGTCTGGTCACTATTCGCGTGAGAGCTCCTGTCCCGGCTCCATCTTGCGTTATCCGTATTAAAAACTGTCTCCATCGCATTTCGGCCGTCTTCGGACATGATCAAGCTGGGTAATGTAGCTCGCCGGCGACAAGAAAGTGCCGGTGCAAAACTATGAGAGCTAGCTTCGAGCATGCGCGAACCACCTTCCCGTTGAAGAGGGCTGCTCGACTTTGGCGTCTGTGACTTTGGACTCTGGAGTTCTAAGAAGGAAATCTCGGTCATATCCTTGTTTGACCGAGGCGTTTGCGAGTGTGGGGTGGGAGAATCCGAGACGGCACCGTCAAGATCGTCAGTATCACTCCGCCTTTTGCGGGTGAAGATCTTTCGCATGACCGTCTTCAGAGTGCTTCCTGTTCGCCGATGCGTATTGGGCCCTCTTGTCAATGCGTCTTGGGCATGCAGGGGCGCTGCTCCTTGGGAATTTCCGCGCAATGCGCTCGCTAAAATAGGAGACCTCGAGCCGCGTAGAGGTCCACGGGGACTCAATACCATTTGCTGGGATGTCACCTGTGGTAGAGCGGTGCCCTCATATGACTCCTGTGCTAGAGTAGAGTGACGGCGAAGCTGCACGGAGCTCCTTTCCGTACTGAAGCTGGAGCCCGCCATCTTCGTTCAAATCGTTCGTGTATAATATCTCCAGCCAAAGTGCGACTGAGATCGGCCGCTGTAAGGATATGATTGTTATTAAAACCGGGTATTCAGAGGGTATCTGTGAAACTGGGCTGTGCCAAGCAGAAGAGTATAGCTTAAAGCTTATTTGAAGCGAGTGTGTGAGAAGATATCGACTGAGAACATATGGGGTATCTCGAATATAGGCAGTCAATGGGTCGAAGCAAGGAGAGTGTGCCTGGAAGCAAGAGGGGCAGTTAGCAAAGTATTCCGCATAACACGATCAAAGCTAGCGCAGAGAGCCGGAGGAGGGGTTTTATCAAGATTGATTCTTACGTTAGACTTGTATCAAGGATGTGTAAGCAGTTGGTTTGATATCTTAAGAGGCCATGTTCGATCCACAACGAGAGACAAGAAATGCAGATGAGATAATGACAAGCTTCCATGAATCGAAGATCGCAATAAGAGAGAGGTGACCAGAAGATCAAATGAGCGACAATGAAGCTACCGGGGCGGTAGGTGACGGTGGTTGAGATGGCCTTGTCAGACGTCGATATCTCCACACAATCCGAAGGACAACCGGGGGGTAGCTGCGCATGGGATCAGATAGTATCGGAACAATATAGCCTAATTGAGATAATCGTGGACAACTGAATGCAACGAAAGACACGACGCTTGGTCTGGATGCATGACCGATGCGTTTGACCTAAATCGGGAACAAGAACACGGGCTGCAACTGGAGTCAGGCTAAGTGAGAGGGGGACGTTCGACAGGGGTTCGACCGTAGAAGTGTCAGAGCATCAGACACACATTTCTGAAGTGAGCAAAATAATGGCCAGACCAAGAATTGTGAGACCGATACGTTGTTCAAGGAGGAAGTCTCTGAGAGAATGGAAGCTAAGCAGGTAACAAAGTAGGCGGGTTGTATGGAGACACGGAGTCAAGATCCAAACTACTAATTCCTGACAGCATCATCATCGGAGACACCATCGAGGACTATCCAAAGAGAACAGCGGATTGGTAAGACTATTCGGGCCTTGACGACCAAGTGGGCCAACAAAAAGAACGGATGTTTGGCGGCGGCTGTTAGTGCCGCGTTGGTGCGTTCAAGGCAGTTTCAGTTCTGTCAGGGGGTGGGAAGTCGCTTGAATCTCAATCCCGGTCAAAGTTGAGGATCGTAGCCTTCTGGATTATTCTGGTCTGGAACTCCTCGTGGTCTGTGCTGCGAATCATCTGTGTGCAAGATAGATAAATGTTGTCAGTGAAGGTCGCTATCATCCATGTAGTGAAAGCTTATTGGGGCCAAATACTTGGACATCAAACAAGCCGCAAAATCAACGAGAGCCTGTAATGACAAGATGGCGTACTTCCAAGGCTAATAGTGAGTGGAACATGAGATCTGTGTTTGAACATCAGTCTGTAAGACGGTAACTGTGAGACGGTGAGAGGTGCTGAGACACGCCAAGTGGGTGCTCGGATTTGGAATTCCCTTCTAGTTACCTGCGTGTTGCGAGGGTTGACTTGAATAATGGATAATAATAATGAAAGATATCGGACTTCCATGTCCAGAATCTCGAACAATGACACCGTTTGACACGGCTTATCTGCAGAATGAGCGCATGCGCTAAGGAGTAGGGACTGTACGAAGTGGGCCTAAGGAGGCGTCTAGCTGATAAAGAGTTAGTGCCATGTGCTCTCTGGAGTCTGGGCTCCCCATTTAATGCATAGTAGCACATGGTATCTACAGCTCTGGCAAAAGCAATTAATGATCTCAGGTAGCATTAACCACATATTTCTACGACCTAACGTAGGATGCTTAGCGGGTAGTAGACTAGACTTGCCCTCAACCGTTCTAGCTGTGATAATCCCCTGCCTCGTCATATACACAGACATCCGCACGCGATTTGAAGGCCTGCAGTCTTTCAGAACCCTCGCATTTAGTCGAGACTATTCTGGCCAGTCAAATAGTACCGATCTAGGCGGATCTCGAAGATATAACAGCCAAAAGTTGCGGGGAAAGCTGCGCTCAGACGCACGAGGATCTGCGGGTTCAGGATTAATTACATCCGTTATTGTAGGGTCTTGACAAACAACGAGACCGTGCGGCATCAGTGTACGGCGAGCAGTAGAAGAAAGGTCCCTCAGAGCCTGGTCCAATGGGACCGGTTTGTTGGGAGCAAGTGGCTGTTAACACTTGTCTTTCAGGGCAGTACGCGGCTTGGTGTCGGTAACCTGGTTATCGTAACGTTTTGGTCTCAAGAGCGACTGTCTGCCATCTTCGAGACCCGCCTTCCTTTACAATAGTTCCCCAGCATCTGGGTAGCGTAGATCCGCATGTTCTTCGAGAAATGCCATCCATCGCTTGAGAAAAGCACTCCCTCTGCAGAGCAAACAGTTCACGTTAGCAGGCTGCCGGCACTCGTCCACAAAGCTGACAGAGGCGAATGCAATCCCTTGAAAAAAGACCTTATGGTTGTGGCGCACTCACTTGCTGATTGTCTCCGAATCACCACATATGCATAGATGCCGTTTTGGACGAGTCATGGCGACTAAAAGACATAGAATGCATGCAGATTAGCCACGAGTAAAGATGGAAGGCAGGTCCAATCGACAGTGAGAGAAAGGAGGAGACACCAGAACATACCGTTCAAACGCCGCTTCTCCCCCAGAAATCCCACTTCGTGCTCAGAATTGCTACGAACAAGACTAACCACCACGGCCTCCTTCTCACGGCCTTGGAAACCATCCACACTCCCGAGCTCGAGACCCGGATACTTTTCTCGGAGCATGGAAGAAAGCAGGGCAAGCTGACCGTTGTACGGAGTAATGCAGGCGATATCTTCAGGCTTCACACCGGCCTGTATGAGGTTTTGCACGTGCTTTGCGACGACTAAAGCTTCCATTTCGTTGCTCTTGCTTTCGCCAAGCAATGCTTCCTTTTTCCCTACATCGTCATCTTCAGTCTTCTCGGGAAAGTCGCCGCCTTGTGTGTCCCAGAATACGACTGGCTCTCTCGTGTCATCAGTCTCCTCAACCTGATAGGGCAAGTCCTTAAGGAGACGTGACTTCACGGCCTCAGCGGCAATAAGCTTAGATTCGTACAGCTCGTTGGATGGGAACTGCATGATCTTTTCATGCATCCGATACTGTGTTGTTAGCATCCTTTTGATACCGGGTCCATGCAACGAAAGAAGTCGGTCAAACAACGTTGTCTCCAGAGAAAAATCGCCAATAATTTCTGCAGAACTGGCTGAAGCGTCTTTCGTGTCTGATTTCCCTTTCTTCTTTGCGTTCTTCGATTTTTCAACGGAAGACTTGACGGTAGGAGGAAGCTGCAGGTGGTCTCCCGCAAGGACCACTTTAGACGCTGGCAATAAGGGGATCCAGCACTGAGCCTCCAGAGCTTGGCTGGCTTCATCGATAACGACTACGTCAAACTTCTGATTTTTCAGTTGATGGCCGCCAGCCCCATGGAGCGTGGCAAGGACGACATTGCTTTCGCGAACCAGGTTGTCCACACATCTTGACTCCCGCTCGCGAAACTCTCGACGGAGTTCTTTCAGGTCATCATAGATTGCCCGTCTCTCCCGACCGGTCCTGGTTTTGCGGATGCTAGCTTGTTTTTCATCAATCTCCTTCCTCACGTCTTTGACGATCGCTGCCGCCTCTGACGTATGAGTGAGTACTTCTAGGGAATGCTCAAGGACTGACGGCAGCAAACGAGCGGGATGGCCAATGCGTACTACTGGTACCCCGTTGGGAGCTAGTCTTTCCACGATATTGTCGACGGAGACATTCGACGGTCCGCAAACTAGTACGCGGAGCTTTCGTTTGACCATTTGAAGAATCAGCTCAATCAAAGTGTGAGTCTTGCCTGTCCCGGGAGGTCCGTGGATGAGAGCCACATCTCTAGACGCCAAAGCAAACCGTATAGCTTCTTTCTGTGAATCGTTTAGAGTGGGATCAACGAACTCAACGGGGCCAATGGCGTCATAATCTGGTTGCATTGGAGCTGTATGTCCAAACGCAACTCGCATAAAGTGCGAGTAATCCGAGTCCGTCATTTTAGCCATTTTCTCCATGGTTTGGTTCATACTAGAAACGTAAGCCATTCAATGTCCCAAGTTCAGTCTCAGCAAGGGCCACGGGGGAGGCAGCCCACATACCGTCGGAACGTCACGTCGTTTGCAAGTTTTATGCTGCAGTCGGCCATTAGCGTGAGTCGGGTAGGAACAGCTTACTGCCCTTAATATAGAGGCAGTGCCAAAAACCAATGAGCGGTGTTGCATTGAGCGATAGAGGACATACAGCCATAGTTTCTTTCCCCAGAGCTCCTCAATGGCTTCGTCATCCTCCTTGGATCGGCCACCCCCACCTCTTTGTCCAAACGCAATCCATATACTTCTCTCTCCAACTCTTGTAACAACCCCTTCCGGACCCTTGGACGCTTCAACTGCATCTTTCCCCCCAGCTTTACCCTTATCCTTCGAAAGCTTTTTGCTTCCCGACCCACTCGTGTCGTTCACACGGACAATATCCCCGACTCGGATTCCGTGCGCACCAAGCCTCGGTTCGCCGTCAGCACCAGCTCTGTCATTGTCGCTCTTGTTCGTCGTAGATTTGCTCGAGGATACAGCTGCATCGGCAGTGAACTCGCCGACAACGCGCCCGCCGAGTCCGGTTCGGCATTGCGATAACACAATTCCCGTCAGCGCATAGCCCGTTGCTTGTAGAGTCCGACGCGTCGAAGGTGAGACTGAGGCAGCGGTGCTGGCCAGCGAGGAGGAGGAAATTTCAGCTTCGTGCTCTTGAAGTAGTAGCTGCAATTGCGCTTGTGCGAAGCGGGGTATCGAGATCGGTTCAGGAGACATAGTGGGAAGGTAGAACTTGAATTCCTATGATACCATTGGATAGAAGCCTTCACATAAGCACCAGAGCCTTACTAAATATTTCGAACGTACGCGAGCTTTGCGGTAATGGCACCTGTAGAGAGGTACCTATCAACCGACCTGGCTTTGGGAGCTTTGGAAGTGGTCGGAGATAACCTAGGTATGTCCGGACCTGATACCTTGTCACGTGTATGCCACAGGGGCAACATTGCGATCTGGCTTAGTCATTGTTGTATAACCAACTTAACCACCATTGTATACGTTGCCCACCCCTCACATATGCAAAGCACTAACTTACTATGGATGACCGGTATTTGTTCTCGTTATATGGGCAATGGGTCCAAGGTGAAGGCTTGATATCGGTCCTACAGGGGCATCGATCATTGTATAATGAGCGCGAGCCACCTTTGCTCATCAGAGCTTCAGGCAGCACATATCGCTTCTTTGAAGCGAGACGCTGAGTTTCCGCCGTGCTTCCAATCCATCTACCAGCAATGACTTCTGTACAAGACACTCATATTGGACAGTCTCTATGGGTGCTCTGCAGACAAGCTGCAAGTGTTGAATCACAACCTGTGCACGTCTAACATAATGGATAGACCTAGATCAAAATGTGATTTCTGTCCCTGATTGTGGGTGTTCATGCGCGCGCTGTTTTCGATCGCCGTATCCATTAGTCTGGTTCCATGCAGCTTGCTACAACTTTCTACAGGATAGCTACGAGCCTTCCAAGGAATCTACTTCTGAAGATTGAGAAGGTTTGCTGATGCAACCAGACCCGTCTCTAAATGCTAACATGAAGAACGCGGAGAAATTGCGTCGGTTATGGAAGGTCTCTTCAGCGAGTACACAAGCGAAAATATGAAAGACAGTTTCGGACAAGACTTGCTTGGGCAATTACCGCTTGAGATAAGAATCATGATCTCCGAACTGATTGCTCCTTGCTGGTACTTGGTTATACTTGGTGAGACACGTCGGTTGATTATACGTCTTAGGGACATCTGTGAAAGCCAGAGTACCCATCTGAGGTTAACACCAGAAATGTGATTGTCTACACTAAAGTACGCGGAGCTTCCTACGTGGCACGGCTCAGCGACGAACCGCTTGGGTCAATGGGCACCTCTCATTATAGACAAGTATAGTAATAATAATGTAATCAAATCAGATTAAAATATAAATTTATCGGTCGAGAGTCTAATTCTATGGCCTTGATATTATCTACGACAAATAATTCCACTGGTTCAGGAAAATGAATAAGGTGCATTAGGCTAGCCGTCCTTATATATATTTAAGTGCGTACAGGTGGTCTCCGTTGACAGATGGGGTTGTCCCCACCACGTGACAATATTTTTCGTACCTTAAAAAAACATACAATTGCTTGTTGAAGCAAATAAAAAAGACATAAGCAAAAGTAATCATTGCTGATTCAATGTCGGCAATCCATTAATAACTACCACTTGACTAATGATTCAAGCTCTTCTACTACATTGTAGCTTGTTCTTTGGGGATGACGGTACCCACTTCAAACTCTGGTCCGGCTCTTGGAGCTCTTTGTCAGGCCTTATCTCATGCTGATAAAGCTTAACCCTATCCAATGTATGTTCAATGACGCCACAACTCGAGGATGTATATATACCATGCTCAAGTTCAGACAACCGTTTTGTCCCTTCCCCAAGAATTAAAATCTATCACAAGAGCAATATCTTTTGATAAGAATTGATACATTTCATTTAGTCGTCGCTTCATTTCACCAGCCAGCCTGTTTGCAATCGCTGAAGTCCATCTACATCATCGGAACACTCAGAGACAACAATTCATAATGTCAAAACCTCTCAGCCACATCAAGATCGCACTCCGTCGCTCCAGTGAGCGCGGATACGCAGAGCACGGCGGCTGGCTGAAAACGTACCACACCTTCAGCTTCGCCGACTACTTCGACCACCGCTTCCTCAACTTCGGTTGCCTGAGAGTACTGAACGAAGACCGCGTCGCTGCTCGGAATGGATTCCCTCTGCATCCGCACCGGGATGCAGAGATCTTCAGCTATATTCTCAACGGTGAGCTGACACATCGCGACAGCATGATCAAGAAGGGTGCGGAAGGTGCGCAGGGGAAGCAATTCTACCGAATGCGAAGGGGCGATGTGCAATTCACGACTGGGGGAACTGGTAAGTACCTGCTCCTGATGCATTATGATGTGGCCACGTGTAGACTCTAACCAGGCTATCAGGAATTGCGCACTCTGAGCAGAACGAATCGAGCAAACCGGTGCATTTCCTTCAAATCTGGGTCCTGCCCTGGAAGTACGGGCTGAAACCGCAGTATCACACGATGTCGTTCAGCGAAGAAGCTAAACGGAAGGCCTTCGTTCCGATCCTGTCGCCGTTGGCAGCAGGGCCAGACGCGATCCCCGCAGAGGAAGAGGCTGCTCGTCCCAAAATTCCGGACACGATTCCCATCCACGCGGACTTTCTCATGGGAGCTGGAATTATCGCGCCTAACACAACGTTCAAATGGAATGTTGGCGCTGGAGATGTAGTCAGCTCGAAGAAGAAGAGGAATGTATATATCCATCTGCCCATGACTAAACAGGGCAAAGCGAAGATCAGGCTAGATGGAAGGGAAGACGCTGTGTTAGAAGAAGGCGATGGTGCATTTGTTACTGGAGTGAACGCTGGTGATATGCTTGCAGTGGAAAGTATTGGGGAGGCTGAGGCTGAGGTTATTGTGCTGGACAGTAATTGAGGAGGCTGGTAGTAATAATGAAATATAAAACTTTCGTTTTGTTTGAAATCCGGATCAAGAATCTTCACTTCCAGGAAAAGCAATCACTTCTTTTGGTCCTTGACTCACCTCACATCAGTTGCACACAAATTTGCAGAGTAAATTATGTTTGTTACACCTCAAAGTTTGGATCCTGTTACGCATGAATTCATCGATATCATCAAGAGTGAAAAGATTGTGGCCACAAGATTGAATTTTCCTTTACTTTGAAATCAAATCAATAAGACGTTTCTAATCTCACTGACCTGGATACATCGCTCAAATGGCAGTAAGGATGAGAAAATATGACCAAAGCAAGGACGATTTTCAGAGCTTTCGAGATTCTCCCTCCTAACATCCAGTAGGCCCATTCAAGGAAGACAAGCCGCTTTTAATGTCCATTTTCGACAAACGGAAATTTGAAGTCCAAAGGCCTCCTTGCAACCGCACGCCCCATGACAAGTCGCTCCGCAGTCAGCTCATAGGATTGATCATCTTCGAGAAACACACGAAACTCCCGAAGTCCTCGCAGATCCTGAAAAGCTTCGAGTAGCTTCCTCACGTACTTGTTCCGATGCGGTGCTGCATTGCGCCAACTAGAGGCTCTGGTACCCAAGTCCACGATGGTGAGAGAAAGGCGCGAAAGTTCAAAATGCTCTCGTATGAAGCGACGTAACACTGACCAGGACACCATGGCAGAGTCTTCGTGTGGCTTGTGGCTAGGCTTTGCGGGGTGTCGATGCATCGCCGGGAATTTGAAAACCAGATGGCGAATCAACATGAAAGACGAGGTTGGAATACTGTTCATGAAGCCCATCATGAGATCGGGGTCTTCCTCCACAAAGGCGAAGCGGTTCATGGTGAAGAAGATCCGGCGCGCATCTTCATAGAGTGCCCGGCAAACAAGGAAGTACCCTACAGGCGACGAAAAACAGGAGCAAGTGGTCGAATACGCCGTCTGACGAGCACGACAGAAGCACGCCGCCTTGAGCGGAGAGCAGGTGCCGCAGCATGTGAGCGGGCGAGACTCATTTACGCGCAGAGATTTGCGATCTATGAACGATACGACGCCTGGTACCCGGCCCCCAGGTGGCAGGTAGGGGTCCAACTGGTTCACCAACAGGAATTCAAGTATTATCAGCTGCACTTCTTTGGGCAGATCAAAGTACGGAAAGGTACGATTTTCACCGAGATTGCCAGTCAATCTCAGGGCATTTCTCTTCACGACGGGACGTATATCCTCTTCCGGGGTGTGACTGAAATGAAAAGCACACTGTAAGAGGGCAGGGAACGGGTCCATGGCAGACATTATCTTGAGGGCCACTGCCATGTCCTTGACTCTGCACTTGAGACTGAAATATCTGAGATTGACCATTTCCAGAGCGGCATAACGGCAGAAACGAGACCACAGCCGCAGAAGATTTCGCTGAGCGCCAGGTTTGATGAAACGATTGTCCCAGGTACGCATTTCGATATGCAAATATCTCACGTCTTCTGCGGCCCAATCGACGGCGTTAAAGAAGCAATCCCAGTCGTTCAAATTGGTAAGTATGAAACTAAAGCGGTTGTGCGACCAGAAAAGGGCGCCCAGGTCCTCCCGGAACTCACGAGAAACCATGAGCACCTCTGTCGGCAGTCGTGGATGATCACAGAGTCGACCAGCGCGGGTGGACCAATTCCCACGTGTGTGGAAGAGATTACGCGTGTCGCACGTGTGATCAATAGCCTGTTTGACTCTGTGTGCCTCACCCGTTATATCGATCAAACAAGGCCGTACTAGTCCTATGTACTCCAGAATCCGAAGCTTGGCATTTTCTGGAAGTTGACACAGGGACTTGCCACCCTTCTTGGAACCAGACATGCTTGTGGCGTCTTTCTCTCGATCTGCGCCCTTGGAGTTAGACGCTTGGTCTTCAGATGATCTGACCGTGCTCAACGACTCGAATAATGCAAAGAAGGACTCTTCATCGGGGTCGAGCCGTCCCACCAGGGATCCGTTGCGATGACGCTGAAGGAGTGACTCGTCTGCAGAGGTCAGAAGTTGACCTAGGAAGGTAGCAGGGTCCGAGTGAAGAGCAGACTAGGACTTACCCATAACGATCGGCAGGTTGAATGAGGCTCCGCGTCTCGAAGACCAGGGAGTGTAAGATTAATTATCAGCCGTCATGGAGACAATGGGGCGAGATAGGCAGGTAAAGGAGGTCACACAAGAGCACTGAGAAGCGGCAGATGCTCTCTATGAACGCAATGGATAAAATGAAAAGATGCTAACTGAAGTGATTCCTTTGACCGAACATGTAAACACTGCACCCGGTACCGGGACGCGCTATCACGGGGCCGATCTAGGCTCGCATTCAATGCCTGGGGCATTCACTACCAGGGCACTTCACACCCCTTCTACCTTGACCTTTGCCCCTCCAGACGCCAAGTCATCATCCTTCAGACCTTCATCCTTGAGCTTCACTCCTGCATTCTTCTTTGAGAGAAGTCCTCTGACTTCGCTCTTGCACAACTTGGTTCCAGCAAGATCGCACTCGCCACACCTCCGGCCAACAGGTAGGCAAACTGTCTGTCCTAAGCCCACAAGCAACTTGTTGATTTCATGCCATTTATCCCTAGGGAGCCAGGACTCTAATGCCATGCGTGTCTCCTCGGGTGTCTTGGTTTTGTGCCAACCCCATAAATTCGTGATCCGGTGTACGTGCACATCAACTCCAATTCCTTCGTCCTTCCCCCAGGCAGCACTCATGCAGAGATATGCCATCTTTGGGCCCACGCCGGGCAGCTTCATGAGCTCCTCAGCGGTCGAGGGTATATCAGAGTTGTACTGATCTCGGAGTATCTCGGCCGCTGCCTTGATATACTTGGTTTTGTTGTTATGGAAGCCAACTGTCCTGATTAGCTCGTTGAGCTTCTCAGGAGAGACTGCCAAGATGTTCTCGAGATTCAAAGTGCTATCTCTCTGAGGCTGTGATGACTTGAGGTCAATATCTTCTTGCTCTTCTTTCTTAACTATGGGATCTTCCGCTGGGGCTCTTCCGTTCCCTAGCTCGGTGTGTAACCGCTGCATAGCCACAGCTGTCACTGTGTCCTTGGTCTGGGACGATAACATCAATGCAATAAGGGTCTGAAATCGTTTGTCTCTGGGAGACGATGATCGCCAATAGAGCTCCGCGCAGCCCATGGTATCCACAGGAGCCGTCGGGTTGTTCTCACGCATTTTCTTGACCATGGAATAGATGGTCTCCCAGTTCGATGGCGGTTCTATCTGGATTGAACCATCATCGCCCTTGATCTTGCGGGCTGGTACACGACGTGATTTTGGTTTCGCAGACTCCACCTTGACGGCCTCGCCTTTTGTAACGGTCCTACCGGGTGCTCGTGTCGCTCTCTTGGTGGACGGGCTGCCAGGACTACTCTTCCTCTTTTTCAGAGGGGGTTCCAAGATATCCTCGATGTCCACAGTATCAGCTGACGAGAGCGACGAAGTATCGTCACCGTCACTCTGCTGAAACTGTGCTCCTGTCATCGTAGGCGCAGTCTCAGCATGGCCATTTGCGCCAGCATTGAAGGCAAAGCGCTGAAGGACATTTGTCCTTGACGAACTACGCGTTTGGCGTCGCGTAGGGGGCGAGAGAGCCTGCAAAAAACTTGCCGTCTCTTTGGAAGTGCGCGAAGTACGCATTGTTAATTGTCTAGTTTTGTAGAAGAAGAGATTGATTATGTTATTTCGCGGACATAGGAGCTTCATATGAATAATGTGAAGATCCCCATACAAAGGGGCAAAATCTTAGCAGGTGGTGCTTAAGCTGCTTACACATGGTTTCCCCGACCACGGAAGCCCAGACCGCGGAACTCTTCAGTGACATGGAGAAGACCCACGGCCACTGCCAGCTGAACCTCGGTGCAAGTATCCTATCGACGTTCCGGGGAATCATCACCTCGAGAGCTGCTTCAAACTCCTTACCCTCTCCTTCATTCATCTCAACCTCTAGAATCACGGTCGGGAGCCACATCCTCCCCGAAGCAGCCACTTCAAACCCCTGACCTCGTTGGTCATCGATTGCGCCCGCAGCTCCCACATTGTTGGACTGCCTGCTATGGCGTCAAACTCGACGACGCAACGCCTCCTCCGCGAACTGAAAGACTACACCAAATCCCCGAACGAGGCCTTGCTCCATCTCGGTCCAGTAGACGAAGATGACCTCTTACACTGGGAAGCAGTCCTGAAGGGCGTCAAAGGCACACCGTACGAAGGTGAGTTACTCAGGTCAGCCGCCGGTCGGCCGACGGCGACCGACACTATCTACTCTCGCACTCCACAGCCACATACCTTCTTCGACATAACGTCATCTTAGTATCTGGTTCAACAATGCTAACGTATACGGGTATTTCAGGCGGCCTCTGGGGTCTCAAAATCACCATCCCACCGAACTACCCTCTCGCGCCGCCCAACATCCGCTTCATGACTCGCATCTCCCACCCCAACATCTCCTTCACAACGGGCGAGATATGTCTCACGCTCCTGACGACCGAGCACTGGAGCCCCGTCTACACACTCTCGACGACGTTAACGGCCATTCACCAGCTGCTCACTGACCCGCGGCCGGATTCACCGCTGAACGTCGATGTGGCGGCGCTGCTGCGCGACGGGGATATACCAGCGTGGGAGAGTATCGTTCGATATTGGACTGAGGAGGAGAGATGGCAGGGGCAGGGGACTGCTAGTCGGTGAGTCGAGTCGAAATGCTCGAATGGGGGCGATGAAAGGCGGATACCCGACATTTCTTGATCATTTTACGAAGAGCGGTAAAGACATCTGTTAAGTATATACACCTACATACCCGACGGATCTGGAGTTGCATATAGCTGTTTTCCTTTCGACGCTTGTCTACGTGTCTATAGAGACTAGAAGTAGCTTCCCCGAGGAGCTGTAATTATTCACTGGTATCAACTGTCGAAGTAGATGAAATACCCATCTTCAGACGCAACTGCTTTGCAAATATGCACGTTTATGGACAAGACAGGATCACCATGGCCTGGCAATGATAAGGAGAGACATGATACGCTAAAAAGCAAAGATATTAACAAGAATAACCCGCTGTAATAACCATTTGGACCATATATTCGAAAAGAGAGACAGCAGTCGGACGCCGGAGACTATGCAAAGGATCGTAAAAGGTCGGAGTCATGTCATGAGTAAATATTAAACAAGAATAAACGCCATCAGATGCAAATAAACGCAACCTGTGAGCACAACCATAAAACCAGGATATTCGGCTTAATAGGGTGATATAGGGTTCGAGGTGAGACTACCAACTTGCCCGGCTGTCTAGAGAGCCATGGCCACGGCGGCCGCGCCTCCAAGCATGACGAGCAGCTCCTTCTGGAGCCCGGTGATGGATGCGGCACTGCCGGTTTGCAGACCGGGGGCCGGACCGGTCGTTGTGGCGTCTGGGCTGGAGCTGTCCCCCGTGGGGTAGACGACCGTCACGGCTGTGACGGTGCTCTGCTGGCCATTGGGCAGAGTGGTGGTACTCTTGTAGGTCGACGTGTAGGGAGTACGGGTGGTGGTATGTTTGCTGGTGGTTGTTGGACCCTCAGTTGTGGAGGAGGCAGTTGTCAGAGTTGTGCGGGTTTCTGAGCTGGTAGTCGATGCGGTAGTAGTAGCCGTGGTGGGGGCGGGGGTGTCCTGAGTAGTCGACGTTGTGGTCTCGCTTGTGGTGGTTGTAGTAGTAGGCTGCGTCTCGGTAGTGGTAGGAGGGGGATTGGATGGGGTGGAAGTCGTCGTGGGTGACTCGGTGGTCGTAGTCGTTTCCGAAGTGGTCGGCTGAGTAGTAGTTGTAGGCGGCTGGGTCGTTGTTGCAGGAGGATTGGGCGAAGACGTGGTGGCGTTGCTGGCAATGTCTCTTGCGAGGTTCAGATGCGCTGCCAGTGACCGATCCTCTCTCTGGATGGCATCAATGGCGTCTCTGTCAGTGGGGAAGACACCATGGCGGAATCTCTCTATGAGATGCAGAGCTCTGTGAATCGAGTTCTCATTGATGTTGTTGAGGTTGGCAGAGAAGGTATCCTCTTTAGGAACCGGCACTGGCTCGGACTGCTCGGGAGCTGGAGCTGCGACAGCTGACGACGCGACCAGAGAGACAAAAAGCAAGCGAATTAACGGGTTCATGGTGGTCAATATACGGACTTGACCTCGCAATCTGTGAAGGATGGAGAGGGAATTCAGATCAAATGAAGTGCGGAAGATTGCCTGATTCAGCAATAGGCTGATATGCGAGGATATGCGAGGAGATGCAATGCTGTGAGACAATTGATTATCAACTGCTAAGATTAGCAACCGGTAGGCGTCAGGTAAGTTGCTTGACGAATAGCAGTTGCAGCAAGTTGGACGCCAATTTGCAATGAAAAGAGAACTATGTGCAAGAAGAGAAGACGAGGAGCCCCCAGAAGGAGTTCGGGTCCTTTTGTTTGTTCCCGGTTTGAATGCAGGATACGTAACTGTAGAAAAGAAAACCAGACTAGTGAAGGCCTAAGGCTAGTAGCGATTTAGTGACTCCAAAAGTCGTTTGTTTCGGCTTCGCATTCAGTCGAGCATAGAGTAACCGACCAATCAGGACGTTGCGCCTTGATACTATCAGTGGATCAGCCACGGAACCCGAGGAGAACTCGGACTTTTACCACCAAAAAAAGACATCAGCAAAACAAAGGCTGATACCTACCAGTAATAATAGACTAGAAGGTGGCAATGCTACGAACTATGCAATTCATTCCTTGCATGTACACCTGAATAAAAGAATAAGTAACCTCCGTTGCTGTTAATAGTATGTATCAGCTTCTGATAACAGCCTTATCACTCAGCATTTATCATGTTTCGGATAGCTGAAAAGTCAATCTACCCAAGTCGTATAAATAATATTGCTCATGTTTACCATCTCTATTGTCTCAACTTGAACATGGTAATTGAACGACAATGGATACTTGAGACTAATGGAACCAGGGAAAGAGGAGGGGAACGGCCAACACATGCAGTTCCAAGTTAGGAGTCGGCCTAATCCGTAACACAAGGTTCTGTCAAGATTCGCTTTCGGATGCGACATCATCACCGAGCCTCTCACAGCCAATCAAACAGGGCACAAGCATGAGATCAGGATTACGCAAGAATTGATAGCCATTATTGGCGTTTCTAAATAATCTGAATATCTATGCGACTGCATTTATCGTGATAGAGCGCGGCTAAGAGGCCATTAAAATTCATCAGACGTTCAGTGGAATCGAAAAATCCCAGGCCAGTAAACAGACCAGAGAATCCCTGGATCATGTAATGTTGAACCTGAATCGCATGGTTGCTGAACCGGACAAGGAGCTCATCCGCCCGATGCCGCATTAGGAAGAGTTGTGACTTGCGTGGTTCTAACAGAATCCAGATCTGCTATTTTTGCGGCTGTGGCTTGCCTGAGTGCGGTTACACGCTCGATCATATGATTGGTCCTTGCTGCATTGAGAATCGCCGGTTGTTTTCAGGCCCAGATTAGTGGAATTATTGCTTTACCCATTATTACTACACATTTGATTAGCCCAAGGTCCATCTTTGTGCCTCTGCAGTCTGCAGGCCATCAACACAAGCAAATTGGTGGAACTCGGTACTTATGTTGTTTGATGAGATCGTGCTTCGGTATTATGCAGAATGCCAAGGGCGTCTGTCTACCTTTTTGGTGGATGTCCATAACCCACCATACAGGGCCACAAATTGGTTCTCTCTCCAAATAGTCTGAGACACTGTCACTATTTTTGCCGAAACATATTACCTACTATAAATATCCCTGATTAGTCTGAGACCGAAATCTGGCAGCACTATTATGAGGCTGATCCAATCGACGAGAGCACTCTAACCTGAGTGTTGAGCATCGACTTTGATTCAGGTAACAACCTGTCTTAGTACGAACAACAGTATGCGACTGGCAATTGTAAGGTTCTTCATTCTGCTAGACTTTCGGACTGATTGGTCTAACAATAGAACGTGACTTGACAAAAAGAAAATATAGAAAGCGGACAGACATAGAACAGCTTCAAGGACAAAGCCAGTAATATGTGCTGCCACTGCCAATCCTTATCCAGGAGCATGTCGTCCGGGAATCGAAACACAGCGAAACCAGACACTCTATGAACCATTTCTCACAATCGAAATACGGTTATTGTTGACAATGCCCACCCAGGCACCCCATCCGACAACCCTGCCATAGATGGCATCGGCAATCTCCCTCAGGGTCGCCCTGTCGCTCAGCCTGCTTCGGTCGATCGGTGCACTCAGAGCAATGAGCTCGAAAAAATAACGATGGGGACCATCTTCCGGGATTGAGTTGGGCGGAAGATAGACAGTATTGCGTCTGTTCTTCCCATACTTGAATCCTCCTTCGAGCATATACGAGTCATTGTGCGTTCTGCTCACTTGGAAGTCGCCATGCTGGAGTCCGGTGAAAACGCGTGGGATTCCGTAATATACCCCGTGAATGGCCGAATGGGGAAGAGGAGCATCGGGGTCCTCGGCCACAAGAAGGTATTCTCGGATATTTTCGGCGGGAGAAGGCCATTCCAGAGCCGGAAAGAATCCTGCTCCCTCTTTCATGTGGTCAACACCCAAAGGCGAGCCTGATGGGCCAATCTCGGAACAATTGAGAGGAATCGTGGGGTACGGGAAGTTGACAAAAGCTGGCCCGCTTGTGAATAGCTTTTCATATTGGGCCTTGACGCTGACCACCAGCATAAGGCATCTCAACGTGAAAGCAATAAGATGCATCTGCGAGTGACGGTCAGAAGTCTCCGTTCGCCAGGCAACTCGACGTCATACCTTTATTTGATTGTTATCTTCCGAATGCGAAGTTCTTGAAAGGATGACTTTGGAAGGATAAGCTGTAAAGCAGTCTTTCTTCAAAACAAAGTAGTGTTGGAGTGTTTAAAGAACAATTCCAGCGCTTTGTGGGGGAGTTATAGAGGACATTTTGCAACAGTAGCTACGGAAAGAGCAGAATCACCGGCATATGGAAGCTGCTGTCGAGCCATAGCACGAACATTCGCTGGCGCTTTCTCTCCATGAACGCCGACCGCATGTCCTTTTTACTTAACAATCCCAGTTCTTATAAAGTGGCAGGCTGGAGTGTTGTCTGAGGAGCAGAGGAACTCGTTAGTATCTATTGTGTTAATTTGGAGTAGTTTGATGCGGGTTGTTGATCGTGTTCGGCTATCGCAGGCACCCCAGACGTGCGGGGATCAGGGTGGATCTTTGTCCATCTGATGTTGAAGCTTACCGAGGCAACACCTTGAAATCTCCAGAATCTCATATGATGTTACGTTCAGAGACATGCTATAAGCCATGCACTATGGAAAGAGCTTGGTGAGGTATTCCTCTAATCATTAACCTACATTCTCACCACATCCCTCCCACTTACCACAAGCTTCCCGGAGTCGCTTCTGTTTACCAACGAACTATTACCCTCAAAAGCTTCAAGATGGAAAGCACGTGGAAAGACATTGTCGCCTCGTATCCTCCGCAGGCAATCGAATTTGCGGGCACAGTTCTGATTCAAGTCATCTCCTTTTGGCTTCCATCTCTCTGCTACCTCTCCTTAGACGCCTTGTTCCCGTCCTTCTCGCAACGGCACAAATTGCAGCCAGCACCCAGACAGCCTAGCCGACGTGATATCTGGCAATGCTTCGTGGTAGTCGCGCAGAACTCAGTGTTGTCCATGGGCCTGCATCTCTTCCAAATTTTTGTTCTCAAACGGGGGACTTCAGCGTTTCGAATCCAAGCCTCGTTGCCACCCCTGGCCGAATTCCTTCGTGACTTCATCCTGAGTATACTTCTGAGAGAGGCGCTCTTCTATTACAGTCACCGTTTTCTTCACAGTCCGTTCTTCTACGCCAGAATCCATAAGCGGCATCATAAATTCACAGCACCCATCGCACTGGCAGCGCAGTACGCCCATCCCATCGAACACATTGTGGCCAATACGCTTCCGATCACTCTGCCACCGCAAATTCTGGGGAGTCATATCCTTACCTTCTGGGCCTTCCTGGCTTACGAGCTCGCCAACACCGCGACAGTACATAGTGGGTACGATTTCTTCAAAAACAAGGCGAAAATGCACGACCTGCATCATGAAAAGTTCAACTTGAACTATGGGTCTATCGGCCTTTTAGATTGGCTGCATGGGACTGATAGGCTTGAAAAGAAACGGAAGGAATAGTGATAATCGAGGCATTTATATATTTGTGACATGCGACAAAAAGTCAAATGTTTGTCTATCTCAGCAGTTTGTGCTTCGGCAAGTTGCAAATCATCATTCATGTGATACCAGTCGTCAAAACTCTTGCTTAACACAACATGCATCATGAAGCCTTGACATCTTGTTCTTCAGTGTCTCATCCTAGATCCTGGCTGCAAGTGTGCCAGTATCATGTAGCACGTACTCACTACATTTAACTTGCTCCTAGCGCACTCTCCGTGTCTTGGTGTCACATATCGCGCTACAGCCACCGTGTTGTAATCAAACCCCGACATTTTGGCAACTTGCTCATCGAAACCACGTTCGTCGGTCTTTCCATCCGCTCGACGGACTAACCCGTAGGCCCTCCGGGAGGCTCAGACTCGGCGCATCCAGCAGGATCAATTCGTTAGTTGAGAAGCAGTCGTGTAGCTCGTAGACAACGCTTCGGCAGGCATAACCTCTGCTTCGGTCATCGCCGTTTGGGCTGCCTGCTGTGTAATACCGTAACCGATCAGCAAGCGGGGATGCGTTGATGCGCAAGGCTATCTCAATGACAAGATAGACTGGAATTCTTCATGAGAAGGGTGGTTGCAATAAACCTGATAATACAGGGTGATTGGGCTATTACGGTCTGACACTGGGATCATGCGTTGGCGGCTCGATAGTCATTGTCCTGCATTACTATCAACTCAAGTTTTTGGGAGCCTTCAAATCGTGCTCTTGACACAGGAAAGCGTATGTTCTGACTTGTTCTCCCTCAATTATGCGAGTAGGCTCTTGGGAGGCCACTTGTAGTTTATTTTGAGCATGCTGGAATATAGTTTATCGATGTTTCGTACTGCGTCAGGGCCAAATAGTAGTATTCAAGTTATGCGCTTCGCTCGTCTGTCCAAATGGTTGTTAGAGTCGTTACGGAGTAGTCCACACGGACTTTCCATATGCCGTAGTTATATATCTCTGGGCTGATGGACACCGCAGCTTTCCACAACAGTCCCAACAGGTCATTTGATAGTCTAACCAGGAATATAAATTTAAGAGATTTAGATGAATCACTCTTTATAAATAAAAGCGAGAATCGCCTGTAAGTAAGAAAGATAGCCGATTGAGTTCTTTGATTAGGGAATTCTGAGGGCAGGGCTAGGCTTCACCAGTGGAATCCCTAGAATATTGCCGGCAGGTCTAGACCAGCGAGGACAAGCCAGGCTGCCACAATACTCCGTCTGCTCTTAATTTAGGCATAAGATGGGTCATATTCACCAAGATACTCCGTATTCGAGGGTTTCGTTCCACTTAAGAGAATGGTATTAAGAGTTTCAGAATGAAATAGTAGCCAAGAGACCAATAGCGATTTACCTCCATAGGCCGTTTATTATGATTGTCGACTGAGCGGGAGATGGAGTGGTAGTGTTATTCCTATGGAACCCGAACTTAAGCTGAAATCCACGTTACTTCTCCAAAGAAGGATCAAGCCTGATATTTCAAGGACATGTTAAATCCCAGATACTCCGTACATTTGTGTGCTAACATGAAACATGCTCACCTGTCCCTACCAATTCTTGGAATGTGGTTGTCTTCCTCCACCCAATCAGAGAGGCGGAGTCCAGATTCTTCTAAGCGGCTGGTGGCGCCCATGGATTGACGTCAAGCTTTGCCTATTTTTGGCCGAAGGATCAAAGGATCTTTGATGCAGTGGTCTTCTCTGTCACTGTTTCTTGATAATTGGGATTGGTATTAAACGATATTGGAAATGGCTTTGCATCGAAGTCTTCTTTTATTTAGCTTTGCTATGATTGCTCACACAGCAAGTCTTGCCAAGCAAGTAATCTAGGACCTAGCTACTCCGTAGGTACTTAAGCAAGGACGTTGTTCCACGACCGGACCACAACACAAACACTTGAGACACTGTATGTGCTGGCAAGTTGAATGCACTCTCAAAATATAGCGACTGGATTTGGAGAGATAGATCGATGCATTTATGATCGGGTTACCTCCCTACCTCTGTAGTGAGCCATGAATGTCAAATCAGTACCCAGCCGGATCGCTTTCCCGCCTCAGTCGGGACTGTAAGAAAAGGTGGGTTGAATCATACATGATTCTACATCCGATGCACGGGATTTATACAAAATATTATACTCCTCAGAGCATCTTCATCTTAGACAGTCATTAGCACTCCCCAAGATAAAATGTAACGAGGGAAGCAAAGTACTCCGTATCAGCAACTGCGACTGCTATCCAGGGTCTCAGGGACTGAGCCCTTATTCCTGAGGGCGATAAGCCAAAGCTCCACCCGCCCCTGGGCGATTCCCCACCGCGGCAGCCAACAGGGTCAATCATCATCAAGCTGCTGTGACTGCTCTTCGGATCATTCTCTTTCGGTGGGAAGTGAGTACCGTACTCCGTAGATAAATTGCCTGTGGGAATGTTTCAGAACCTCAGCCTAACTCAGATGGAAGGTAGAGAGGTAGTACTCTGCAATTTGCCACCCAATGATAATCTCCATCCGCACAGCTGAATTCATTCCCTTCGTAGTTTGAAGTCTTTCACGCTTGGCCGATCGGATGATCTTTGGGTCTTTTAACGCCCACGATCCACAAGAGTGTCAGACAAGGCCCATTCTCTTTCCCCACATTGCTTGTCAATGGCCACTGAGATGGTCAGAGCAGTCTTCCTTGTCAATCAGGTGCAGAGTGATGACGAGTCCTGTGTGTCTACTTGTGAATGTGGAAGGTTATCCCTGTGTATGTAAAAGTATTACCATCTCCAGTGCTATTCTTATCCACTGGCACCCCAGACTCTGGGAACGGTACCGTAATTCTATTTGCGTTCCCTGTTTCTCTCAGGGATGGGGTCCTGGTTGGTTTTAAGGCCCTGCCACCCTTCCTGGGTATTCCATAGTTGACTACTCTCCCTGCCTCTTTTGTTTCTGTTTCCTGCATATCCCTTCGGTCGTTCATATCCATTCTTCCTTTCTTTTCTCCAGTCCTTCATACCTTTATTAATCCTCGATATCGTCACTCGCTAGACTATACAATCTTCTCCATTTCTCCTTCGCTGACATTGACTTCTGTTAATTCACGGCCTCGCCATTCTCTTCGAGCCGTCTACTTATCCGATTCTCTGACAAACACACATCACTCATAATGAAGGCCTCTGCTGTTACTGCAGCTCTCGCCGTCGGTGCCTCCACCGTTCTGGCAGCCCCCTCCATCAAGGCCCGTGACGACGTCACTCCCATCACTGTCAAGGGTAATGCCTTCTTCAAGGGAGATGAGCGTTTCTATATGCGCGGTGTCGACTACCAGCCCGGTGGCTCCTCCGACCTGGCTGACCCCATCGCTGATGCCGATGGTTGCAAGCGTGACATTGCCAAGTTCAAGGAGCTGGGCCTGAACACCATCCGTGTCTACTCGGTCGACAACTCCAAGAACCACGATGAGTGTATGAATGCACTGGCTGATGCTGGCATCTATCTGGTGCTCGATGTCAACACTCCCAAGTACTCCATCAACCGTGCCAAGCCTAAGGAGTCGTACAACGATGTCTACCTCCAGTATATCTTCGCTACCGTTGATGCTTTCGCCGGTTACAAGAACACCCTCGCTTTCTTCTCCGGTAACGAGGTTATCAACGATGGCCCTTCCTCCTCTGCTGCTCCCTATGTCAAGGCCGTCACTCGTGATCTGCGTCAGTACATCCGTAGCCGCAACTACCGTGAGATTCCTGTCGGCTACTCTGCTGTAAGTTCCTATGCTACATACTGGTGATTCGTGACCTCTTGTTGACTGGTCCATTTCTAGGCCGATATCGACACCAACCGTCTTCAGATGGCTCAGTATATGAACTGCGGTCCCGATGACGAGCGCAGTGACTTCTTCGCTTTCAACGACTACTCCTGGTGCGACCCCTCCTCTTTCACAACCTCGGGCTGGGATCAGAAGGTCAAGAACTTCACTGGCTACGGTCTTCCTCTCTTCCTGTCCGAATACGGCTGCAACACCAACAAGCGTCAATTCCAAGAAGTCGGCTCCCTCTACTCCACGGACATGACTGGTGTCTACTCTGGTGGCCTCGTGTACGAGTACTCTCAGGAGGCCAGCAACTACGGTCTGGTGGAGATTAGCGGCAACAACGTCAAGGAGCTCCCAGATTTCAGCGCTCTGAAGACTGCGTTCGAAAAGACCTCCAACCCCTCCGGCGACGGCAACTACAACAAGACTGGTGGTGCCAACCCTTGCCCCGCTAAGGACTCTCCCAACTGGGACGTTGACAACGATGCTCTTCCTGCCATCCCCGAGCCTGCCAAGAAGTACATGACTGAGGGTGCTGGCAAGGGCCCTGGTTTCGCCGGCTCTGGCAGTCAGGACCGTGGTACCCAGTCTACTGCCACTGCTGAGCCCGGATCTGGCTCTGCCACTGGAAGCAGCAGCAGCGGCACCTCCACCTCTTCCGAGGGCGCTGCAGCTGGCCTGACTGTCCCTAGCCTGACCATGGCTCCCGTTGTCGTCGGTGCGGTTACTCTCCTGTCCACCGTCTTCGGCGCTGGTCTCGTCCTTTTGTAATTTGCTCTTCTCATACCCTCTTGAACAAATTGTCCTATTGCCACGATTTTAGTTCTTTTTTCAGTTCGGTTCTTTAGGCACCCGACTGGTCTAGGATGGGGGGATTGTATTCAACTGATGAATCATCCGTGGTGTTATTTCACTCCCCAGCGAGGAAAGATCCGGGAAAATGTACAGTTTAGGTTGGCTTCTCTGGCCTCTTATAGATTAATTGAATGACTCAATTTTCAACTTTTCGGGTCAACGATTTGCAGTGGTCGCCTAGTGTTTGTACCCTTGGCAGTGACTGACCCACCTCCCATCAAATCACTGAAGACTCTTGGGACGAGACTACTGCTGCCAGCCTGTCCGTAGGGCAGTTGGTCAAGCCTAGTGTTAACAGGATAAGCTCTCTCCATGAACCATACTATGATGACTGACCTCAATAGTAATTTTACATTTTCCGACTACCGACATTTTTCATCGACACTACTTTCCATCTCCTAATATCGAGGTAATATCGTTGCGGGTTGTGTCAGCTCCGACACGCTCTTATTGGCATCCTGACTCGGTCGACCAATCAACCACAACATTTTATTGATCCATCCACTCCATAATCAACGTCCTGGGAGGGGAACTGTTTCGACTAGATGGAAATGTGGGCAATATCAGTATCGAGGGTTAACGGCTCAAACGACCGACGTTGAAATATGAAACCAGACTCATCTAGCTCTCTTTTGCGCGTCCCACACGGTGCAAGTTGACCTTTGCCGGCGCTTCTTGGTTTGCTTATTTCCTGCCGGCGCATGCAACATTCGTTCCATCGGAGAAGCAATCATGCTCTCGTCGGTTTCTATCTAGTCTAGCCGTTGACGAGCCCACCGGGCTAGTTCTTCCAATCCACCGGGTGCCGTCCTTCATTTCTCGGTCGTTTTCCGATACAGAGCCAGTCCGTGCTTGAGGAGAGATGGGTGTGTATATGAACGATGTCCTCGCCACGATGGCTGTTCATTCAATCGATCACTTATCCATTCATTCGCTTTTTTTTCTTCTTTCCTTTCGGCGATTCTAGCCGTCATTCGTTTTGGGCTGCTGCTGGGTCGGCTATCCCGTTCCTTTCATTCATTGTCAGATTTTGTCTTAGCATACGCTGGTTGCTTGCGGCCTTGCTTTCTTTCGCGTTCTGATCGACCGAATATAAGATGCGTTCCTTTCTTTTCGGTGGCTTGGTAGCCTTGAGCTCGACGCTCGGCGCCTTTGCGGCGAACTACAACTCCTCCGCCTACAGTGACTCGGCATCCGGGATCGACTTTCAGAGATGGTGCGATGCGGATACCGGATTCTGCTTCGGTCTGGCCCTCCCGGAGACCGTAAAAACCGACTTTGTCGGTCAACTGGTGGTGCCGCTGGACAGCTCGAAAGGATGGGGCGGTGTCAGTCTGGGTGGCTCCATGACCTCGACTCTTTTGATCGCGGCCTGGCCGAATGGTAACTCGGTTGTCTCGAGTCTGCGCAAGACAACCAACTACGCCAACCCGGACGTGTACAGCGGAGACGCCAGTCTCACCGAGATCCCCGATGGCACTTCTGTCAACAGCACTCATCTCACTTATACGTTCCTTTGCAGTGGCTGCATCCTCGGACAACCAGCGACATTCGACGCCACCGATGAAACGTACTTCCTTGGCTGGGCCCTCAGCAAGACCAGCCCTACCACTCCTGCCTCGGCCTCTTCGGCTCTGACATACCATGCCGCAGGCTTCGGTAGTTTTGAGATGCTCCTCGGCCAGGCCAAGTCCTCCAAGTACTCCACCTGGGCTGCCATGGCCAAGTCGACCGGCGGATCGCCCTCCAGCACTCCTTCAGCGTCTGCGTCGGTCACCGCGGCCCCTAGTCGCAGCCCTGTCGCTAGCGTGACCCCGACGGTTTCAAACTCCACATACGACTACATCGTTGTGGGAGGTGGTGCGGCTGGTATTGTGGCTGCGGAACGCCTGGCCGAGGCGAACAAGCGCGTTCTGCTGATCGAGCGAGGAGTTGCTCCGACTGTTGAGATGGGTGCCTCTGACGCTCTTGCATGGAACAAGACCCTGGCGCCCGTCGATATCCCCGCCCTGAACCAGGCACTCACCAGCCTGGGTGTCGTTGGGGACTACCTGTGCGAAGACACACCCGGCATGGCTGGATGTGTTCTGGGAGGCGGCACCATCGTCAATGCAATGGCCCTGATTTACCCCCAGGAAGCGGACTTTGACGACAAGTGGCCTGCGGGCTGGAAGTGGCAAGATGTCAAGAGTGCCGCTGCCCGCTTCTACGAGAGAAACCCGGGAAGTCTGCTTCCGTCCGCTGACGGCCGCCGATATGACCAGGGCATGTACACCGTGCTGTCTTCCTTTTTGAGCGGTCTCGGATGGAAGTCTGTTGACCAGCACAAGCAGCCCAACGAGAAGCACAAGGCGTTCAGCTACCCGTCTTGGTCGGTCGCCAATGGCATCCGGGCTGGTCCTGTGCGCTCCTACCTCCCTTTGGTGCAGAACAAGGACAACTTCACTCTCCGCCTGCAGACCACAGTCCGCCGTCTGATCCGCACTGGCGGGCATGTCACCGGCGTCGAGGTTCAGAACTCCTCGGGCGGCATTGAGCTCATCCGGATCCGTCCTGGCGGCAAGGTCATCCTCGCTGCCGGTGCTCTATCCACACCTCGCATCCTCTTCAACTCTGGCATCGGCCCAGCCAAGCAGATCAAGACCGTCCAGAGCGGCAGCACTGGAATCACCCTACCCGCTGAGAAGGACTGGATCAACCTCCCAGTGGGCCACAACCTGAAGGACCACCCCATGTTCACCGTCAAAGTCAACACCGGCGCCAACTTTACTGCCTTCAACACCTCCAGCGTCATCCCCGCCGCCAACTCCCTCGCGCAGCGCATGTACGCTAGCGGTTCCGGCATCCTCACCCAGGGCGGCCATCGCCTTCAATTCTGGACCTCGAACGTCGCCTCCGACGGCGTCACCCGCTTCTTCCAGGCCTCCTGCAGCCCCGGCGGCGACGGCATCATCACCATGAAACTGTACCTCACCCACGGCGCCACCTCCTCCGGCGTGCTGGGCATCAACGCCGCCGGCTCCACTACCATCGAAACCGACCCCTTGCTGCAAACAGCCGAGGACAAGGAGGCCCTTACATCGTTCCTGCAGGAGCTCCTTGACGATCTCAAGAAGGCTTCTTATACCGTCCAGGAGTACGCCTCTGCGGCGGATATCCTCGCCAAAATGACCAGCGGCGACCACTTCGTCGGCACAGCCAAGATGGGCACCGATGACGGCCGCAGCAATGGCACCTCCGTCGTGGATACCAACGCCAAGGTCTACGGCACCCATAACTTGGTAGGTCCCTTCTTTCCCCTGCATCTTACCAAGTCTACTGCAGTATACTGACAAGATAGTACATCGTCGACGCGAGTATCCATCCCGACCTGCCAACGGGCAACACCCAGGCCATCGTTATGATCGCCGCTGAGGCTGCCGTCGCACGCATCCTTGCGCAGGGCAGCGGCCCCGGCTCTTCTAGTGTTGCTGTTTCCGCGCCAAGCCAGAACACTGCTATTGCTTCCGTGTCCAGCACCGAGAGTGCTAGTGCGGTTCCTGTTCCTGTTCCTACCGGTGGTCAGGAGACCCCTGTCGGGGGTGGAGTCGTGACTTCCGCTGCGGCGACTACCGAAACCGAAACCGAAGCTGCCCCTGTTTCTACGACGCCCAAGGCCGAGGGTGCTGGTGGTGTGGCGACCGTCACGGAGTGGGTGACGTCTGTGGATGTGGTTACCGTCACCAAGCATGTTCTTGTGACTGCTACTACGACCGTTACTGTTTTGCCTACGTTTGCGTAGTCTCCGAGGAAGAACCAGTATGCTGCAGTGCAGTCAACCGATGTATTAGATATATAACTTGAATATAATCCGACTATATTTATGTTGTATCTAGTGCAACTCACTCAATCCACAATCTATTCTCATTAACAAGAATAACGCTCATTCTCATGCTCATGGTCACAGTCATGGTCCTGTTATCCCACGGCCAAGAACCAGTATAGTATAAACACGAACCCCATCCCCCAGAACCAAAAGAAAAAGAAAATCATCACATCGTAATCATCATCATCAGCTCATCATCAGATCAGATCACACAGAATCATCCCCCAGCCAAAACTGATCCCCCCATTCGGGCTGCATCATCGCACCCCCGCCCACGCCCACGCCCACATCCAGATCGTCCAGCGAGAAGACCCCGTCGCCTGCGTACCCGTTGCCATCCGCGAACAGGAACCCGGCGCCGTGCGCGTCGCCGTGCATCACCGCCATCGAGACGGGGATATCAGCCACGGACGCGAGGGCGGGAGTCGCGAACGAGCCGCAGGTTAGCGGGAAGTGCGAGGGTGGGGGCGCGGTGGTGAATACTGGGAGTGGGACTGGGAGTGCTGGTGCGGTTGATCGCGCACCAGGATGGGGATGAGGATGCCGCTGTGCGTGGGCGTCGCCGGATGTGTATCCGGGACTCTGGCTCATACGCATCTGGGTGTCTGTGTCTGTCGAGCTGCGGGGACGCGGAGAAAGCCCCGGTCGTGCGGGGACGGCGCCCGCTGCGCTGGGGGGACCTGCGAGCGGTGGTGAGATCGCAGCGTGGCTGGCGGCCGGGGTGGCAGAGTCAAGCGAAGGACGGGGCGCGATGGGTTGGAAGGCGCTGTTTGGACGGCAGGGTCTACCGGAAGATTTCTGGAGAAACCGAACCGGAGAAAGGACCATATCAGCGAACGACTGCCTGAGAAGGTATTGCATGGGCAATGACAAATTCCAAAGAAAATGCAAAATCAAGACGGTGCTTCTCCCCCCTCTTGTCTGGTGACATCTACTTTTGAAGATTGAGACTTGGACTCTGCCTCACGTCTGAGTTTGGTGTGCTCCTCTGGAGCTTGGCATGGGGTGCAGTTGCATACAGAGCAGGTCGAAAAGGGGCGACCCTTTCTGGCGATGCGGATCAATGGTCGATCTGGAATTCATTATGAGTCTGACTGAAATTGGAGGAGGCCAGGAGAGGATGGAGGAATAGGTACCATTGTGTTTACAGGTTGTCACACGGTGGCCGCGGACGCAAGCTTCACAAGCCCACTTTTCACCGTCAATGAGCATCCCTTGATGGTATGGAAGAAAGAAGCCATGGTGAGGGACGAGGAGGAGGAATTTATACGTGGACTGGCGGAGAGGAGATGAGACAATGCATCATAGGCAGTGTTGGGGAGGATTAAAAGGGAATAGAGCTGGAGCTGGAGCTGGAGCTGCCTGCCTCAGGTGTCCGGAGATCGTCTTGTCTTGCAGCCACGGGCTGTCGTGGCTGCAGGTAAAGCGAATTCCCACTTGGGTAGGTGATGGAGACCAATTTTTACGATATCATTGAATCCAAGAGGATGTGATTGGTGCGGATGGAGAAATATTCGACACTTTGGGGGCTGACATGAAAGGAGGAGGATCCTCTGAGGAAATTTCCTCTGGATGGATCCTTCTTGTGTATAGAGAGTCACTACTACCGCTGTTGGATATTCTCAAAGACAAAAGACGGAAACCGATGAATCGAGACTAGCGATGAGGGATTTTCGACCCTCGGCTCCCGCATATGAAACCCAGGGCTAGGGGTGTTTCCAGTTTCTCCCAGCTATCCCCCAAAGCAGCAAAGCAGAGAGACGGGAGATGCTAGCAGGTGTAAGCTGGCAATATCAGTTCATCCTTTGGCAGTGCAAGTGGGAAATACCAGGGAGATGCCAGATTCGTCCTAGCATTGATTAAAACTGGTGGTCCAGCAAATTCCCTCATACATTCGGTGCTTAAGAGTCAAGACTCTTTTTCAGACCGCCCCTCTTCCTAAAGTAAACCAATCTTGCTGCCTGGTGTTACGGATCCTCAAGGTCTTGCAATAATGATAATAATATTAATGACAAACAACATGGTCCGCTAAAGAAGAAAAATTAAGACGAGGACAAGACAATTAGAGCTTGACTGAGACGCTCGGGTCACTATAAGGCTGGAGACACACATTTACAGACACAGAGTATCTACAGTGTACAGAATAGATCACACCCTGAGCATCAATCTGCCTGAGATCAATGACATACGATATTGACTAACTACAATATAACCGAATAATATCATTTCCAATTCATTATCAATCGGAATACTATCTTTCCTCTCCGCTCGTAATCAAAATCATATGAATGTGTAGATCAACTCGCTTGATGGAGGTGGCTGAGCACTGCATACCCGCCGGCAGCAGCACTAAACAATAGCTTCAGCACAAGCCAAATAGAGGTCCGTGGCGCAGTCTAATTTGCCGCCGATTTCCATGGTTGGTCTTGTATCATGTATGTGATTTACTATGAGGTATTTCCCCCTGATGATACGATCGTGGCTCGACTAATTTTCTGCGCGATTTTCACATATAGTTCGAGCCTTGTAGGCTCTTGTTGTATACTCTATCTGCCCCGTAGTGGTTTCGTGGTATAGTAGGTTTCATTAATGGTTTTGACCGGAGAATATCATACAGAAGGTCAAAAGAAAGAACACAATTCTACCGGTTAACAAAGTCTATCTGCCATGTCACAGCCTGCATAGCCAACTTCGGTAGCATACCCCCTACGTCCATGTACACTGACCAACACCACTCTTCTCGGCACACTCTAGATACGTGCCTTAGAACGATCGCATCATGCAGTTTTAGCCTCCAATAGAATTTTGAGGGGAAACGGCGGCTGAAATTAAGGTATCTTCTGCGTGGCTTGTGCACAGTACTTTGAATTGCGACGGCGCTTGCTCTGAAAGGAAGGTCCATTCTTTGATGACAGCTGGCGGATTCACCCCTGGTCATTCTTGGAGATCATGAGACCGATCCTCCTAGGAGACTCTGTTGCGCATACTATTGCGATCCAATTGCAAAGTGAGTTGCAAAGGTGAGTCAAAACTAAAGTACGACGACACGATGCGTAGTCAATTTCATAGGTATCCATTCGCTGCTGATGCCACCAATGCAAAGCTATAGATAAATAATGGTCACAATGAAGCCAACCGCCTAACAATAAGCTTAAAACCGCACGATGCCACATCTAAACTTCCTGTATATAGTTTGCAGGTACACTTTTGGTGACCCCTCCCCGTTCGACGTCGGCCCATCCATCTCCGCTGTCCCGGTTGACCAGCACGAACCGGTCGCCTTCCGCCATGCTCCATTCCATATCGCTGCGCGCTTCGTAGTCATACAGCGCTTCGACGTATTGCAATTTCTTTGCCCCTCGTCGAGGGGCGACTGCAGGCCCAACCCGCTTGGGCGCCATACTGCCAGCTAACGAGGCAGACGAGTTCGAGTACGTGGAGCCCGGTCGATCCGTGAATCCGGGACTGGCTGTGGGCGCAGGCGATGTTGTCGGTACCACTTCCACGTATGAGGCTGGAACGAGGCCTTCCCGCGATCCAGTGCGAACGCGCATCCATCCGGAGCCATCTAGAAACCTCAGTTAGGGCGAGTTCCCGCATGCCAACGGCAAACTTACCATCAGGTTCAACAATATCCACGTCGTCCCCTTCCTGCACAGTGATTTCGTCCGCCCCTCCAGCTTGATACGGGTACAACATCTTTCCACGAGGCTCACCTGATTTCGCGGGAGCGGATGGTGACTCACTTGGCGCTGGAGCGCTAACATACTGTGCCGGAGGTGGTGCGAGAATCCGATTTCTCTTCGGAGCGGCAACGGCGGGTTTAGTCTCAGCTGGCGCAGCAGGCTCTGTTGCACTGGCTGGCTGGCTAGTAACATTTGACAATGATCGGTTTGTGCTCGCCGCATACCCGGAGCTCAAAGAGTTCATCGTATTTTGCCGAGTGAGTGATGGCGCAGCCGACGTTCCGTTCGATGGTGTAATATCGAGCGCTGGCATGGCACCGGCTTGCTCTTGTCGCTCTACCTTGAGCTTCTTCTTCTCCTCTTTGGTCTGCTCGCCAGGACATTCCGCGGGTACCTTCATCTGACATTTGCTGTGGCATGTGTACCCGCAGTCCCGACAATCAAAGCCTTTGGCTGACAGACCCCAAATGCGCTCCCCGCAAAGATCGCAGTTGGTTGGGATCTTGAATGTCTGTGACTTGAAATTGTGATTCTTGGCCCCTAGAGACAAATCGCCGACCACCGACATGATGGTCGACGTTTCAACCTCTGCAGCCAGGCGTTTCCGGTCTGTTTCATGGAGCGCCTCCTGCAAGAAAAATATGGACCGGACAACCTCCACTTCGTTCCGGTTGTCTTTCCCTTGCCGAACATTTTCTCGTACACGCTTGGCGTTGTCAACTTCCCGTCGCTTCTGGTCGGACTCGACTCGCAAATCCCGGACTTGCGTCTTGCCCTTGCTGAGTAGGTTGCGTAGAAACACTTTGGCTGTCTCATCTGTAATCATCGACTCGTCATCATGCCAGATAGGACTGGGTTCGAATACCATGTTGGGTGGTTCCTGCACTTGGGTGACGTTATGACGAAGAAACATGAGTGAGTCAAGGTGCGGTACGTTTCGAGGAATCTCGTTCAGTAGATGTGACATGTGGTCCATACTCTTAGAGAGAGAAGCTTTCTCTAACTGAGCTGCGAGTGACCATACCGAGTTGAGTTTTGTCACCCGGGTCTCATTCAGGTCTTGCAATCCCTATGCGACCAGTGAGTAATCCATTCCTCCGTAACCTGAAGGCGTCTACTCACATCAAGAAGCTCTGGCACATATTCATGAAAATATTTCTCCTTCATCTTGTTGGTCATGTTTATGCTGATGAGGTACATGTTCTTCGACACATTAGCAAGACTGGTTGGCTCGCGCTTGAAAGAACGGCAGGCTCACCTTGATATTGTTCATTTCCAAAATCTGCTGCTGATAGGCAGCTTGCGCCTTCGACTTTCCATGGTCCAACGAACTTTCCATCTTCTTTCTGCGCGCCTCAACCTCCTGGCATGCCCCATCATATTTCCCCTTTGCCTTCTTCAGCTCACTGTAAGATGAGTCTCTCTCCTTCTCCAGCTTCGCATGAAAGTCCACATGGCATTTCCTAAGTTCTTCGTACTGCGCCGCTGCTTGCTTGAGAGGCTCCGCCACTTGCGCGACCAACTCCGAGGCGAACTTGTCCCGTTCCGCGGCATGCGATTCGACAGCGGTCAATTGCGTCGTCCAGGTGGTAAGAGAAGCGCTTTCAAGGGAGCCCGGGGTCATTGAAGGATTGTCTCCAACGCTCAGGCTGCTGATTTTCTTCGCCTTGCGATCGTAGTATTTCCGACAGAGGGTAGTGAGTTTGGCGGCGTATTCCTTCTCGATCGCGCTCCGCTCGCGATAAAATTGTTGTATCTCGTCGAGCCATTGTATCCCATTCGACACCTATGTGTGACGTTTAAAACCGTTGTTCTTGGTCTTGCGGACAAAATGCGGGGGAGCGACTTCGGTACGTACCCAATTGTTCACTGGTTTAAATGCGTCCTATATCAACAGCAAGTATTAGATAGCCATTCTCAAGTGCGCCGATGGTAAATCTTACCTTTAGCTCCGCTCCAAAATGAGGAGCAACGTCCGCAGTTGCCATCCTTTAGAGGGCTTCTGATGTATCCCGGCGCATAAGACACAGTGTCAGAAAGCGTGTACTAGGCGGCCACGTTTGACCGTTCGTGAAAGAGAAGCCACAATCCCCCACGTGCTGACGTCCCTTGGCGGCTTGATGCAGCCAGTAAGGTGTCACAAGTCGCTGAGGCTAATAAAAATAGGTAATGTCTGATAAGAAGCGACCAAAAGGGTATTGTCATCTCATGTTAACTCCGGCGTTGGTGCGGGCATTGCGGAAGCGGGGATGATGGCTGATGGCTCATGGGCTCATTGGGCTGAGAAGGCTGTGACAATACCAAAACAGCGGTCTCAGGCCATGTTGGCGTCAAAAACCCCAGTTGCCCTGGCACTGAAGTTACCATTCTGTACCATCAGGTACCACTACGTAGTCTCCTCTCACCGCCTTCCATTCAGCGCTAGTCAGGAGATTTCCCAAAGAAGGAAAGTGTCATTACACGTTATCGCCTGGCTGGGTTTTTCTACCGTCATTATTGTGCTCCCTGAAGCGCAGTCACAGCTTGATACCTTGGGGATTTGAGCTAGAATTGCTATCATCTTGCCATTCGCATCGGTCTCAGTGCGATTTCGGCTCTTGGTCCTTGCACGGTGATAAAGTCCCTCCTTTATCTGATTCTATCCTTACTCTCGTCTATCTTTCATTTACCCCGCTGTTTGCCTCTCTCCAAAGAGCCTTGGGTGTTGCCCGCCTGCTCACAGCTTCGAAACTGCTGGACCACCTTTTCGTCTCTAGTCTCTTTAATTTCTCTTGAAGTCGCCTATTATGGCCTCAGAACAGCCAGTCGAAGCCGCCCCAACGGGCGGTTCTCTCGCCGATCGCATCACGAAACCCGATGAATCAAACACTTCCGGTACGAGCGCCATATCATCCCCCTTCGGCGGATCAGGTCGAACATACGACTAATCTGTTGAAAGCAGAAACACCTGCGCCCGCAGCCGATCAGACAGATGGCGCTCCCGCGCAACTTGGTGGCTCCGACCTCCACGAGCCGGAGTACAACGTTGAAGTCAAGCTCAGCGATCTACAAGCCGACCCCAACAATCCACTCTACTCTGTCAAGAACTTTGAGGACCTTGGACTGTAAGGGCGCATGGTTTCCTGTGACTGTAGTGGTACTCGTAACTAATCTCTTTGCGACCCAACAGCGACCCTCGAATTCTGAAAGGGCTGTCGAACATGAACTTCCGCAAGCCTTCGAAGATCCAAGAACGCGCCTTGCCCCTACTGTTGAACAACCCTCCCAAGAACTTGGTCGGCCAATCCCAGTCCGGCACCGGAAAGACAGCCGCTTTCGTTCTGAACGCTTTGAGTCGTGTCGACCTGTCGACGGAGCAAATGCAGAAGACCCCTCAGGCATTGATTTTGGCCCCTACGCGAGAGCTTGCCCGTCAGATTCTCGGCGTCGTCCAAGTCATGGGTCAATTCGTTGATGGACTCATCATTGGCGCAGCTGTCCCGACCGATAGAGACAGCCGTCCTAAAAGACTGGAGTGCTCTATTGTCGTTGGCACTCCTGGAACCGTAGGGGACATGATTAAGAGGCGTACCTTTATTCCCAACAAGCTCAAGGTGCTCGTTCTTGACGAGGCGGACAACATGCTCGACCAGCAAGGTCTCGGCGATCAGTGCATCCGTGTTAAAGCGTAAGTTAACAGTCATACTCTGGATCTACTATCGCCGTCCTAGCTGACTTCCCTAGTCTTCTGCCGCGGGATATTCAGGTCGTCCTATTTTCAGCCACTTTCCCAGAACACGTTCATCAATATGCGTCGAAATTTGCACCTAATGCGAACGAGATTACACTTCAGCACGAAGAATTGACTGTTGAGGGAATCAAGCAGCTCTACCTTGACTGTGCGGATGGAGAGGACAAGTACAAAACCCTTGTTCAACTTTATGGACTGCTTACAGTCGGATCGTCCATTATTTTCGTCCAGGTTAGTAGACCCACTGCGCCACGTCCATGAACGACTTGATGCTGATCACCCTCCAGACTCGTGCAGCAGCTCAAGAAATCGAGAAGCGAATGACGGCTGAAGGACACACTGTTGTATCATTGACTGGTGAGAGGGATCCCTCAGTGCGAGACGCAATCATCGATCAGTTCCGCAGAGGCGAAGCCAAGGTCTTGATCGCGACCAATGTTCTTGCCAGAGGAATTGACGTTTCCACTGTCTCTATGGTTATCAACTATGTAAGTTCTCGCTTCGGAACACGATTATTGTGTGTTACATGTCTAACCCCCGTCTAGGATATCCCAGAACTCCATCAGCCCAGCGTACCTGGACGACAGGCAGATTTCCAGACTTATTTGCACCGTATCGGTCGTACGGGTCGTTTCGGTCGTGTCGGTGTCTCTATCTCGTTTGTGTCGAACCGCGAGGAATGGGAAATGCTCAACCAGATTCAGACATACTTTAACTGTGAGATTCAGCGCGTTGATACCAAGGACTGGGATGAGGTGGAGGATATTATTAAGAAGACCATCAAGAACTCGCGCGCCAACCCAAAATTCGCCGGTGGGAAGGAATAGAGGAGGACGGCTTGCTCCGGCGCTGTCTATTGTCCGACGAATAAAAGCCTTTGGCTATGTTTTACGTGTACACAGTGATGAGAGCAAACTTTGATGCCTACAACAGGTGGAGGGAGAATAATAGATACCATTGACCTGTCAACCTTTGTCGTCTTGTTGAGATATATCTACTCCGTAGCTTTTGGTCCGTATATGAGGCACCATGGTCAGCGATGCCGTCATAGCGGAACTGTGGGGTCGGATATCTCCGATCCTTCGTAGTAGCTGATAAGGATATGTCAGGCTTCTGGATTACCGGTCGCAAGTTACGGACTGTCGGACTTGTTCCCGGGCAATTGGCTATTAGACCAACTCATTGTACAGATATGAAGAAATATCCATGAGTCTAGCGGTGAGAAGCAACCTGTCTGGAAAAGAATGGAAAAGAGGGGTATCTGCCGGGATGCCTGATGATAAGGTGCGGAGAGAACCTGATGAGATAACAAGTCACATGCAGATGCAGGAGGACAACACTCGCCCTATTCCTTCTTCTCTCGCCATCTCTTGACTCTGCTCTTCCAAAAACATTATCTTCATCTGTCTCTATCGTCTCATCTCTACACTGACTTACAACATGGGGGACACAACCACAGCGACCATGCCAGATGCTCCGAGCACCCAGTCCCCTACATCCCCTACGTTCCCGTCAACTGGTTACAGCAAGCACATTGTGGTACGTACCAACACAGCCATGCAATCTGGAACAACGCCGTTTGAACTAAAATCTCCCCCAGTTGACCACCTACCCCGGCCAAAGCGGCGTAGATCCTGTCCCCCTGGTATGGGGCGCACCCGATGCCAAATCCCGCGGTCCGGTCATCGTCACCCGCGGTGCGGGGATGCTCAAGCGACGGAACGCCATGGGCGCCCACGGCGGCAGCTACAGCATCTACAACGCGCTGGCGATCGCGGCAGGAGACCTGGACGTGAACTTCCGCCCGGACTTCCGGAATAGTGAGCCCACGTTCAACTTCCCCTGGCAGCCTTCGTGGGCGGACAAGACGAAGATCGTCTCCATGGACCCGTATGGGCATGATGTCGTCGACCAGTTCCGGGAGGAGCTGGAGGCTGGCTGGGATATCCGGCCAACGATGGCTATTACGCGGGCGAATATGAAACTGGCGGAGATTGGGGAGGCCGTGAAGAATGGGCAGTTGGATGTTGATGGGTCGATTGTTGTGGATTCTTCGGGGGAGGTGCGCGTTACTAAGGTCGCGGTTGAGCCGGTCTGGTATTTGCCTGGTGTTGCGGAGCGGTTTGGGGTTGATGAGGGGACGCTGCGGCGGACCTTGTTTGAGCATACGGGTGGCAGCTATCCGGAGTTGATCACCCGGCCTGATTTGAAGGTTTTCCTTCCTCCTATTGGAGGGTTGACTGTCTACATCTTTGGCCCGCCGGAGCGTGTGTCTGATGAGAATGTGAAGCTGGCGCTGCGGATTCATGATGAATGTAATGGAAGTGACGTCTTCCAGTCGGATATTTGCACGTGCCGGCCGTATCTGGCGTTCGGTATTCGGGAAGCAATTCGCGAAGCTCAGAACGGGGGCAGCGGGGTTGTTATATATTTCCGGAAGGAAGGCCGTGCTCTGGGTGAAGTGGTGAAGTATCTTGTGTACAATGCTCGCAAGCGGGGTGGTGACACGGCCGACAAATATTTTACTCGGACAGAGAACATTGCTGGAGTGCGAGATGTGAGTTACACCATTCTAGAAGATCGGGTTGGTACTAATGATCGTATAGATGCGCTTTCAAGCCCTCATGCCCGACATCCTTCATTGGCTTGGGATCAAGAAGATCGACCGCATGTTGTCCATGTCGAACATGAAGCACGACGCCATCGTCCAGTCGGGAATCAAGATCCTCGAGCGCGTGCCGATCCCGGAGGAATTGATACCTAGCGACTCGCGCGTTGAGATTGATGCAAAGATCAATGCCGGCTACTTCACGACAGGTAAACAGTATACAATGGAAGAACTGGCGGCGGTAAGGGGACGCGGCTGGGAGAAATGGGAGGATGTCACGGTAAGTAGAGCTCTTTCTGTGGACGAGGTCTTACTAACTCTGTCAAGCATTAACCTGCTATATATTCGTCTTTTCACAAGCTCAACCTTGTCTTGAAGAATGATACGATCAGTTTGATATGGATTGGACCTTTTCGGGTATCCCCATTAACATGGGGTTTAGGTGTTTAGGAAAGGGTTTAGTACTAGCAGAATCACCAGATAGTAAGGGATTTGCAAGTGATTAAGGTCATGTAGCTTTCCTGTGAAGTATCGCAGAGGACCTTCAGTCTGTCAAGCTATTAGCTGTAACTGGCTATCTTACAAAATATCAGGCCAGCTGCCAATTAAAGCCTTGAGAGCGCATTGTAGATCGTTTCATCCTTCCGTTACTCCTGATAGGACAATCTATGATCATAATATGCATGTTATCATATATTCTATTATTTCCTAGAGAGGTACTTCGGGATGCTATCCGACACGGATTCTTTTCCCGATTTCCCCGCTCGTTTCTGTAGATCATATACACCTATAGCTATACCGAGTATAAAACCCCTGCTCTGCCACTCTTCTGTCACTACGAACTATATTCTCAACTTGAATTTCCCTTGATCTACGCTCCAACAGGCAGACCGCAACTCTACCATGGGCTCCTCACAACCCCCCACAGTCTCACCCCAACCCCACGTCCCCAAACCAGGCGTCTGGTGTCCCGCCGTAACCTTCTTCGACCACACCACCGACACCCTCGACCTCGAATCCCAAAAGAAATACTACGCCTACCTTGCCAAAACCGGCCTCGCGGGCCTCGTCATCCTCGGCACAAACTCCGAAGCCTTCCTCCTCACCCGCGAAGAGCGCGCCCAGCTCATCGCCGCCGCCCGCGAGGCCGTCGGCCCAGACTACCCCCTCATGGCCGGCGTCGGCGCCCACTCCACCAAGCAGACGCTGGAGCTAGCAGCCGACGCGGCGGCCGCGGGTGCGAACTACCTCCTCGTGCTCCCGCCTGCCTACTTCGGCAAGGCGACGACCATGAGCGTCGTGAAGCGGTTTTTCGCGGATGTAGCGGCGCGGGCTCCGTTGCCGGTTATCATCTACAATTTCCCCGGCGTGTGCAATGGGGTTGACATTGACTCTGAGACGATGACAGCGATCGTGCGCGAGTCGGCGGCAGCGAGCCCGAGCGGCGTGTCGAACGTGGTCGGTGTCAAGCTCACCTGTGCGTCTGTGGGGAAGATCACGCGGTTGGCGGCGACGTTCTCGCAGGACGAGTTTGCGGTTTATGGGGGGCAGTCGGATTTCCTGCTCGCGGGGTTGAGTGTTGGGTCGGCGGGGTGCATTGCGGCGTTTGCGAATGTGTTTCCGCGGACGGCGGCAAGGGTTTATGAGCTGTACAGGGCTGGGAAGGTGGATGAGGCGATGGCGTTGCAGCGGAAGGCGGCGCTGGCAGAGAGTCCGTGTAAGAGTGGGATTGCTGCGACCAAGTATGCCACGGCGGTGTTTAGTGCGTCTCTGGCGGGGATTGAGGGGGCAGAGGAGAAGCTCAGGCCTCGGACGCCGTATGAGGAGCCGAGCGAAGGGGTGAAGCAGATGGTGCGGGAGGTGATGGCGGAGGTGGCGGAGATTGAGAGAAGTATATAGTTGCGATTACTACGACGATACTCCGGCCAGGGTCACCATCTTGAGTTTTTTTTTTCTTGAATTGCCGGTAGATGAGCAAATACCATCGAAGGACCAAGAAACTACCGCGCCTAGGACCTCTCTAGAATCTCAATAGCGTCAGTCCCCAAGGAGTTATTTTGCTTTACTGTGGGGAAATTTCTCCGACGCGCCTCCGAAATCCGAAAACAGCCCGGGACTGCGGGGGCCAAGAGATCAAGCTTAGATGAAAGAATACCTTTTTGACTTGCCGAACACAAATTGCAGGGTCAGTGCAAGTGTCTACGAGGTTTCGCCGACGAGATCCCGAATTCTGATATTTTAGCTCGCCAAGCTGATTGCAACCTCATCGACGTCACTCTCGGGCCGGGGTTGACGGCAAAATATTTTTGGTAAGAGACTCACTGCAGGTCTGCAGTATCCTCTTCAATTCAAGTGCTAGATTCTTGGATTTGGCTTGAATTGACTGCATTGATTGACTGGTGCAAACAGTATATAACTCGTCTGGAAATTATCTAGCTATATCTGAAGAGTCGCACAGTAAATCGGCTACTGGTCGGCACAAAGCCGAAGAATTGGGGAAGCTTCTGTGCAATTCTCCGAGCCGTATCCCGGGGACCCATTCTAGCTTCGGTATGTTTCTCGATTGCATCTAATTTGATCCTGCCTAGCACGTTGACCATGTGGACTGGAGTACCCCGTCTGGGGTCTTTGCGGCTTTTACTAACAATCTGGAGTTCAGACCCCTGCTGGGGACGGTGGGATATAAATACCCCTCAACCTCCTCCTACTTCCAGTGAGGAATGTCAAGCATCATTCTTTCAATCAGACAAGCAAAATGCGTGCCCCTCTCATTCTCTTCTCTGCTGCAATTGCAGCGGCCCAAACAGCCAACTATTCCGGGCCTCTGCGGCCTCAGGTTCACTTCTCCCCTCCCTCTCAGTTCATGAATGACCCCAATGGACTTTTCTATGATCACAAGAGAGAGGTTTATCACCTGTATTACCAATGTAAGCCCAATTGACCGCTATAGATATGTACCTGTGCTAATGCGTCGCAGACAATCCTTCCCAGATTGTTGCAGGTAATCAGCACTGGGGCCACGCAACCAGCAAGGATTTGTACCACTGGACCAACCACCCCATTGCCATCTCCCCTAGCAAGCCGGGCGAGTGGATCTTTTCCGGCTCGGCTGTGGTGGACAGCAACAACACCTCGGGATTCTTCCCTGACCAGGACGACGGTGTGGTGGCCATCTACACGCTGGCCACTGCGACGCTGCAGACGCAAGACATCGCGTACTCGCGTGACGGCGGATACACTTTCACCAAGTATGAGAACAACCCGGTCCTCGACATTGGCTCCAGCCAGTTCCGTGACCCGCAGGTGGTATGGCATCCTGAGACGCAGAAATGGGTCATGACCATTGCGTATGCGGATGATCGCGTCATTGGGTTCTACACTTCGCCTAATCTCAAGGAATGGACGCATGCCTCCAACTTCACCCAGTCAGGTTTGCCAGGAACGCAATTTGAATGCCCCAACCTCGTCAAGTTCTCAGTCGACGACTACGGCGACTCAGAGGACCCCACCAAGTGGGTGCTTTTCATTTCCGTCAACCCTGGAGCGCCACTCGGGGGTTCGGGAACCTACTATGTCGTTGGAACGTTCAATGGAACCCATTTCACTTCGGAAACCACCCGCGAGACCCTCTTTGACTTCGCCAAGGACAACTACGCCTCTCAGTGGTACTCGGGCATCCCCGAGGACGAGCCCCCGCTCTCCATCGGCTGGGCCAGCAACTGGAACTACACCCAGCAGGTGCCCACCGGCCCTCTCGAAGGCTGGAGAAGCTCCATGTCGCTGCCCAAAGTGCACACCCTGACCAAGGTCGACGGCTCCTGGGTCGTCACCAACGAACCATTCGACGACTTGGACTCCGTCCGCGGGAAGCAACTCAAGGGCAAGCGCTCGCGGAACGGTGATGTGACCTTCGACTTCAAAAACGTCAAATCCAATGCTGTCTCCTTCGACGTCAAGATCAACGGTATCCCCTCATCTGGCGCAACGGGCCAGGTCTACTTCAACTTCACCTCGTCAACCTCGGGCGAGTACGTCGATGGCGGTCTCAGATTGGACAACGGCTTCTTCTGGATCAACCGTGCGGGAACCCATCTGTTCACTCAGGCCAACAGCACCGGCTACTGGCCCGTCTTCAACACGACCGTCAAGTCCTACGACCACGGCAAATTCACCTTCTCCGGTGTCATTGACCGCTCCCTGCTCGAGGTCTCCCTCGCTGAGGGCGTTCAAACCGGAACGATGAGTTTCTACCCAACCCATCCGCTGGATACCCTGACCGTTTCTGGCAGCGATCTGAGCAAGAAGACTTCTTTCCGTGCTAAGGCCTGGGGCTTGGAGAGCGGCTGGTAGACAGCAGGAATCGTTGGAGTCGCGTTTGGGAGTTTGCTCTCGTTTGCAATGGTGTATATGTGAATCACGAGTCTAAACTCTCTTACTCTTAAGTAATGAATGCAACTAGTTGTGCCCGCGTGCCGAAGCAGAAGTTTGTTGAATTGGATTAGTCAATGGGTTACATCCCCTTATCGTTATCACGCAACCACGGACCTCCGCCGGGGTACCTTATTTGTTTTGTTGATCGCCAAGCGGGGCGGCATGCTGTATCCGTAGCCTGCTCCTTGTATGCCATTCTCCGTTGTTTGTTTGCATGATTCTATCTTCCTTTCTGAGCCATGACCTGGATTCTTGCTGATTGACTGACAATATGCCTATGAAGCAACTTATCAAATCGACCCAGTAAATACTCTGTCGGCGCAGAAATCAGTGGAACCCGACACGTGTCAAGGGATCAATGACCAGTCGGCCTCGGACATGCAGGTCAGTAAGGTCTTAGAAAACTGGAGCAAGGTCTCAAATTAGATACTGCCGAGAAATCTGGTCATAGTGTCTCAGATCCTGAAGGATTCGAAGGGACTCGTCAAGGTTTCTGCTATATAACACCATTTAGAAACATGGCTTTACTTCCTTGAAGGGAGATAGATTCCTTATTTGCCATATTTACCTTGTTCCCTAACCCAATGAGCCAAGTATGCGGTGGTAAATTGGTGGTTGATTTAATAGGACTTTACTGAGGTTTTCCAGCACTGTACTCTGGAGTACTTTTAACCACATGAAGGTCTCAACTTTCCCAGGGGCTTAGATATCTGAAGAGACAAGACCTTATCGAACTCTCGAGACCTTGGGCTGTAACTGGGGTCAGTCTGCACTGCGATAACTAGCGCAATGCTTGCCAAGTCATCTAAATTGACCGATTGGATCAACACTAACCCTGCAAGGGGAGTGCTTGTCGTTACATTACATGCCAACAGCGCTAAATGCTAAGAGCAAATCCTGCA